CCTTTCCACTGGCAAGCTGATCAGGACAGGTAGCTGCCTGAGCACGCCTTCAGTGCGTGTCTGCGTGCAGGAGTCAGTGCACATCGAAGAAGTACGTCCTAATTCCCAGGCAATGTTGCAAATAAGCCAAAATGGCCAGAAATGGCATTTCCTTACCTGTGTAAGGGTGAACGCCTTTAATGTATTTCTCTACAAAAATACCAATTCACACTGCTTATAGTATTAGGCATCTTAATGCATGCTCAAGTAGTCAGTAGGTTAAAATAGTATTTTTTCAAATCAGCAAAGTTAAATGGTTGAACAGTGAGAGCTATTGTAATTATCCAAGATTTTTTTTTTAAGGTTTAACAACTTATTTCCATTGCTATTGCCATATCATGAGGCTATTACAGGAGCCGCGAACCTATTCAAGTGTCTTGTATTGGTGAATTTACCACGTGCAATATTAACCTGTCTGCCCTCCCAGTGCTCGCGAGGTAGCCTGGATTTTTGGCCGTGTTCTGCAAAAACACAAATAATTACAAGTGCCCTAAAGGATAAGAAACAGGTTTTAAAAATGTGTGGGTAATTTAAAATGCATTATGCACCACATAATGTACTTATCCCCCAAACGCATCAAAATACAGTTAGAAAGGTAATTAGGCCTTGCTGTAATTAGAGGATCCTTCTAATTGCTCTGCGCACACACATTTTGGTTTTCTTTGCTTTATGAAGGAAGAGAAACAGGTGGCACAGTTCAGCAGAAGGCTGCAGCGTATCGTGACAGCGCGGTTAATTGATGTTTATGCTGTGCGATGGACGCAGCGCTTCTTCAAGACGTTATGAAATGGTTCAAGGTTCACGGTTTGAAAGTCTGACATTAGGAGCAGGGTAAAAGTAAAAACCTGGGTTTACAAAGATGGTCTAAAGTGCAGTAATTAAACACTTCCTTCGCATTTCTTTGGGGCTTTTGTTCATTCAGGGAAAGTGCTCGTTTTGTCAACATCTGTTAAAACAGAGCTGCAGCTTTTTGCTCTGGTTGGAGCACAGCTCTGCTTCGAGAGGGTTCGTGAGGAAACTCCCACGGATGTCAGAGTGATTGGGATCAAGCGCAGAGCCAAGCTAGTTAAAATCATATTTATTTCACATTTTATCTCTTCTGATTTGGGAGCCAGGGAGTTGGTTTGGAGCTTGTGCTGAAAAAAGCAAGCACGCCATCAAAATATACATGGATAGATTAATGTTGCCTTACCTTCAAGATCTACACACACATTTGTGCTTTTTCTTTAACAGGCTTTATCGGTGATTACTGAACTTTTGTGAAAGTTATCTTTAAGATCTTGTGGAAGTTGGGTTGCTTTTTAAGCCCGGTGTCTGATTTTTGTTGTTCACTGTGATTTCACCCTTTGAAACTGAGGTGATTTTTCTTTCTTAACACTGGTGTAATCTTTTTTTCTGTCTAACCCAGTGGTCAAGTTTTTGAGAAAGTATTTGAGAATACTCTGTGAAATCTCGTGAAGAAAGTGGAATTTGACACGCGAGTCACTTATCCACCCGTGCTGATTTGCTGTGTTTCCTGTGAAAAGAAAGTAAGTTTTGTGAACTACAGGCATTATTTTGAAGGAGCTGTAACTGAAAGTCGCTGCCAAATCATGTCAGCTCAGCGACCCAAAACATGCTGAAACAAGGTCAGCCTCTGTTTCTGATGGTCAAGAAAACTGCCAAGTTAAGAAAGCAAAGTCACTTCCCTCGTCGGGTCCCCCATCCTCGCCATATGGTAGCGTTCAAACTGTATCAGCATTCCTAAGAGAGCTCTGTTGAGAAAGACTGAATTATTTCTTTGTCTGGGGAACAAGGCACCAACACAAACTGAAAAATACCTAAAATATTTCTTTGTTGTGGGGCTGTGTGTAAAACGTGCATAAACTTTGATGCGAATACCTTGCTTGGATTTAGGAGTGCTAGGAATGTGTTGCCTACCTGCTATTTTTCTAGTTCATTTACCTGTCTTAGGTTAATGATGGACGCAAGAACTGAATTTGTTCGTTTCAATTTTTTTTTCCTATGTAGATGGCCGGCAATGAGGATTTAACTTGTAATATTAACCATTCCTGTATCATTCCAATAAAATTGTTTTAAATGCTTTCTCACACTATTGACTTTTTGTCTTTTTTTTTTTTTTTTTTTCATGTTTCGTTTGTGGTTTGAAGCGGTCCTGTGAGTTTAGAGAAGTGTAGTCCTTGAATGAAAATATTTGACTTCAAAGTAGGGAATCTACACAACAAACTGAAAGTTAAGCATCCACTGCTGCACGTTCAATCTGTTGGATCTCTCACCTCTTGCGGCTAATGGGTTTTAATTACTTGGGACACACCTACACAAAAGGAAGTCTTTGGAGGTTTGGGGGGTTTTAGGAGAGCACTGAATACACTTTAATTAAGCTGCTTTCCTCTTCTTTCCCTAAGGCAGTTACAAACTGAAAGCGGACAGGGCAAATCAGCTGCACCCCATGCCTGTAAAGCTTGCCAAACAGCTTCAGTTTCTTTTTTTTTTTTTTTTCTTTCCCCCAATGTGTAATTGATTAGCTTTATGCTGATCAGAACAGAGGAACTGTTATTTTACATTTGTGTTGCCAGAGAGGGCAGTATAGGATGTATTTTTTAAACTAAAATTACTCATTTTTACCTTTTCTGCGGTCCCCACAGATCTAGCAATTGCATTATTTTAAGCGTTGCATATTGAAGTGTTGTACCACCTGGAAGATAAAGACCTTCTGTCGAGCTGTAGAAGATGCCCTCTCAACCCCTAACCTGCATTAGGATTTGCCCAAATCCCAGCTTTCAATTCACGTGGAAAGGTGAATTGCTCTGAAGGAAACCAGTGACTTAATTCTTCCAAGAGTGGCTTGTGAGCAAGCTGCTTGCTTGCCATTTATAGGATCATTTTTCTTCTGTCTAAAAACTGAAGCACACCCAAGACCTAAGTTATATTGATGGTTTTGATAGTGTCTACTGCTTGTCTGTCCCACTCGCCCTTATTTTAAAAACTGCTCCATAATGTAAGGTAGAGAAAAGGGCTTCTGCTGGCATTTCTCAATATAATGATTTCCATTTGTATATACACTTGTATATGCACTTGTATAACCGAGATAAATCTAATTTGCAAAGCTCAATAAAAGCCAGTTTCAACATTCTGTTTAGAAAACTAACTGCAAGGGTGCATTATGTTTCCTTCACTTGCTGTTCCTGATTACAGCAATGTGCACTGTAATAAACTTTTCTACCAACTCGTGTGGGATTCTCTTTAATTCTCATTAAATATTTAGGCCACCTGAGGGGGAGGAATTAGCCGAGCACCGTGTAGCACTGAGTACCGAGCACCCTCGGTATTCCCAGTATACAAAATACATTTATTTAATACATGTAAGCTGCATTCGTGGAATATTAAGTGTGAATCCCAGTCCTTTATGCCCTAATTCCTTCCCTCGGCGGTCCGTCTGTCAAGGAGCTTGGGGACTTCGCCCCGCCCGCCTCTGCCTCAGGGCCGGGCCGGTACCTGCCTCAGGGCGGTGACGCGGCTGTGACAGACCCGGATGGAGCCCCGCCCAGCCGCCGCCGCCCAACCAACAGCCAATCAGCGGGCGAGACGAGCCCGCCCCGCCCTTCCCATTGGACGCGCCTCTTGGCGATCAGCTCTGAGGCCCGCCCCCTCTCCATGGCGGCGCGGGGGGCTCGGGGCTGGGGAAAATGGCGGCCGCCTTCCTTCCCTTCCCTTCCCTTCCCTTCCCTTCATCCCTCTTGAAAAAAGGCGCGGTTGTTAAAACAAAGCACTGCTGGTTTCAATGGAAAACAAAAGACTCGAAGCACCTGCACTTGGGAAAAATTAGCTTCTACTTCATATTTATGTGCACATAAAAGGCATGGTTGGAGCTGAAATAAAGGACTTTGTTTACAAGCTGTGATCCTTATTGTTCATACAATATGATAATGTAATATAATTGTGTGTGATAATGCACAGTGCTGTAATATTTATTTTTTTTCTTCCCATAAGTGAATGATACCGTTAAATTTCTTTGTCCTTTATACATTTTAATTTAAGTTTAACCTCCGCATTCAGACACTTGTCTTGCTGCTGTTTCTTCCAACTGCAACCTGTATTCAGCTTCTGAAATAAATTTTATTCTGTCTCCTGCTGATTTCATGTCTGTAAATACAAGTTTATTTCTTTTTTTTTTTCTTTATTTTCCTTTTTTTCTTTTTTTTCCCCTAAGATCTTAGCAATGAAGATACTCATCTTTTTTTTTTTTTTTTTTTTTTTTTGGATATCGATGCATCTGCATCAGTAGAACTGAGACAAAAGGTGACTTGTTTTTAACAACTTACACCTAACTTGATTTCTTTCTCTCCATCTTTCCATTACTTTGCTGTTTTGTTGAAGCTGCTTCACAAAAAAACGTGACTGCAGCTGGCACTAATTACAAGCTCGGTGAAGGAGGCGAGGTTTAAACCACGCGGAATTGGAAGCAGCCAGTTTCCTGTGAGGCCTGATCCCCTCCAAGGCTGGGGGCAGGAATGCCCTGTGGAAGTCACAGCCAGGTCTACCGTGCAAAAACTAGTCGTGTAAGATGGTTAAAAAAAAAAAAAAAGTCATTTAAAACAGCCTTTAAATATGAAACCACTTTTATATAAATTCACTGGGAATAAAAATAGTTTGCATTCTGCTCCCATAAAAACAAAAGACTGCTGAAATGGAGGTGAAAATGAGGGAAGAGGAATAATTTGAAAGAGACTTCATTTGACATAGAGGTTTATAGTTACTACAAACCTTTCATTAATTCATTTCTAAGGCACATCCTTATTTTACTGCCAAAACTTGTTGAATGATGGGTTGCAATTAATATGTTGCTATAATGTTATCTTTACACTCTAGTTTTATTTTACATTTGGGTCTCACTCCTATCCCTACACTAGCAGTACCTATTTAAGAGCTTTTGTCTAAATAACTAAACTTGCATAGATGGAATTGTTTCTTGGAATCCAGTTTCAATTTTTGAACAGCCTGAGAAAGCACAGACACCCTGATCATTTAATAATCTTGGTTGTTTTTAAACGATGTGTTTTGGCAGTTACCAGCTCATCAGCATTGCACCACGGTCACAAACATCGCAATTCATTTTTTAACATCCTCCGTTAGATTTGATGTCACTCCGTACTCAAAAACTGCACACTTTTTCCAGTGGGATCACTTCTGTTTTAAAAGGACAACAAAATGGGGAACTGAATCATGTGTGCTTCAGTTATTGCCCACACAGTCAGCAGTGAAGGAAGAGTATGTGAGAGTCTGTTCTCTTACAGCAGCCGAAGTAGGAGGCTTTGGGGCTATGTGATTATCTACCTTTCTTACCCTACTAGAATTGGTAAGTCCGGCTTTTTGTCCTTTTATTTTTTTATACCCCACTCCCTTTTTGTGCCAGAATGGTGGCACCATTTACTTTATTTAAAAGAGAATGCGATTCTGCTGCAATTACCATATTTTAGCTTTTATATTAGCACTGTGAGCATTTTCAAAGCAATATAGCAAAATTTTCAGGCATGTAAGGATCTGGGTACCTGCATCCTGTTTTTCAGAAGTAAACGAGGCATGCAGTATTCCAAATACCATTGACATTCAGCGAGATTTAGACTGCAAAGTACCCTTATTTTTTTTTAAAACAGCACTTAGTTTCCTAAGTCCCAGAAATGCTGAAGAAAATATTGCCCTGCTTTTTGCATATGTAAATGATTCGGTAGATAAAGTAAACAGTTATGCTAATGTAACCAGGAGAAGGCAGGGTGTGCTGCCTTTCTTGCCTACTTTGGTCTGACTTGCAGGCATTTCAAAATTCCAGCGTTACATTCAACTTCTGGGAAGGAGCAGTGCAATTGAAGCTAAAAAACAGCCCTGAAAAAGGAAAAAGCAAATGCTTGTACTGTAGCAATGCATAAATTTACAGAGGGAGTAGAAAACTTCCATCTATCAAGGAAATGGAGTTTTAGAATAGCTCTCTGGAAGGAGTACTGGGATTAAAAACAAACAAACAAAAAAAGACTTTACCTATCAAGTTCCACTGCAGAACAAATAAGTTAGAGTATGGTTTGGCTGCTGATAGCAAAGGAGTAGAGTTGCAGGGGATCTTTCTGGTTATGTATCAAATATCATGTTAAATTTGCAGAGGTTTCATTTGTGTGGAGAGCTATCTGGTGACTTGTGTGGCACCACTACTGGTGTAAATTGGCAGCTCTGTGAGAAGTAGTGAGCTTTAATTGCCCATGATATAAATAGAGGGTTTGGTGTATTTCTTGAAAGCGTAGGAAAGGGCATGCCAGAAAGTCGTGTTCTTCAGGAGTTTTAGTATGTGCTCTTCAGTAAAACTGCCTCATCCCTTGCCTGCCTTCACTATTTCAAAACACGAGAGTGCCAGAGACGTGCGAAGGTGCTTGAAATATGCAGAAATTAAAAAGATATATGAATGTGTTCATCTTTCTCATTCTTCCACAACAGTAGTTATGATCTTTCCCTCAGTGAATTTAGGTCAGTCTGAGCTCTAAACGGAAATCAAGTGAAATCACTTTTTTTTTTTTTTTTTAAATCCTTACAGAGTAGCAGCTCACGAGTATGAACCACCTCAACTAGCCACAAAGCAGAAGAGACACCTAGGTATGGAAATGTGATATTAGAGATGAAGAATCCTGTCAATGCCCCCTTCGTATCTTCAGAATGATTTTGTTGACCTGGGTATAGAGATTAAATTCGTATAAAAGCACACAGTTTGCTTTTTGCTAAAAACAAATATTCTAAAGAAAAAGCAAAATCACAGACTGTCTCTATGAAATATGCACTGTTCATATATTTTTTTTTAATTGTTATACCTCTTTTTCCAAACACGCTTGAGGTCTTCTGCTCATCTTTCTTTCCCTCACAGATCTCAATGGAACTCTGGTGATTAGACTGCTGCTCACACTTGTCATCATGCTGGCAGAAGGCATCTTAACTAGTCTCGTGTATAAAGAAAGCTGTCATCAAGATAAGCCTCACAAGTCTCATGCAGCAAAACAGGATGAAGAGGGAAACTGGAGAGAGAAACTTGTAGACAACCCCAAAATTACAGGACTTGCTGATGGATGTGAGACGCAGGATGGAATCTCTGCTAAAAGCGACATGGAACACAAGAGAGATCCTCAGCAGAGACCCATACTAGGGTTTCCTGCAAGAGATCAGAAAACACTTGTTAAAGGAACTGTATCACCAGCTTTACACATCCCCAGAAGAGAGCAATATAACGAACAGATGGATTTGTATAGATCCTGGTCATGCAACAGCATTTATCAAAACTATCCTGACTTACATATTGGAGGAAACCGCGTGGGGGACCATACATGTGATTCAGGTTGTGTTTTGGACCACGTGTGTGACGAACTTCCTGATGGCCCTGTTATACTGTCCATAGACATTCCTCTTGGCGAGTCTCCTCTGTGTGAGCATCTTGACAAGTCAGGCAGTCAGTCCCTGCCTGGAGACGATGCTGGAGAAAGGAGCATAATGCTCTGCGAGGAGCCTCTTTCAAACTCCATGCTCAACAACTACATGGAAACAAAAGTGGCGGAGTTCTACAAACTGTTTTTTGAAGAAAACCTGACCAGGTGTGGCTCTGTAAGAAACCTCCTCACCTGCAGTTTGATAAGGAACAACCTGAATCAGATCAGCTTTCAGATATCCCAGGAGCAGAATATAGAAGCATCGAAAGCCAGAGAAGTGCTCTTACAGTCTATAGCTTTGTTTAGTTTGCACAATACTACCAACAGAAGCAGCTCGGAGTTCAGTACTCCGAACTTACAAATTTCAAACCCAGCATTTGTGAAAAAGAACTGCAGGATGCAGTTTACATCATGACTGAACTGCTCAGCTGAAGAGGTGAATACAGTTCAGATATGGATATTTCACTCTGAGGATTAAATTGGGAAAGGAAAACATTTAGACACCACAGACTTTTTCAAATAAACATTTTAATGATTAAATCATACTTTGTCTACGGTACTCGTTAACATAGGAAGTAAAGGTCAGTTTTCTTTTTTCCAATGCAGAATTTGAAATGAATTCATCTCTAAAATGCTGCGACCCTATTTTTAAAAGGTATATGTCCCTCTTCTAAGACTCTGGCTGTATGAGCAATTGTACTCATGTTTCATTGGATTTACTCCTGCAAGAATAATCAATCAAGGCAGATTTGCTGGTAAAACTTTGATCTAAGAGATGGATGCACCCACCCAGTAAATCAAATGGTCTTTGTTGAACTTTGAATTAGGCTATATAGTTGAAACCTAAATTTTGGACATTCAAGCTCAAATTTTGCTTCTGCAAAGCTTGATCACAGTGGCTAAGAAAATATTTCTTTGGCTTGAAAAACCTCATTGGCAGACGGAGACATTGAGGACTCTGGGTTCTTTTGATTATAGTATCAAGCACAGGAAGTGTATCAATGTGAAACAGCAATCCAGACACATTTTTATTGCATGTATATGTTTATACTGTGTAGGTAGAGTATGTTACAATGAAAATCTAAGTGAAATAGTTGGTCACGAATGTAAAAATATTTTCTATTAAAATGTTTTCCTTTTAAATATAGCCTTACCTCTATGATGAAATCCACTTAGCTTTCCACCACTGTGTTATATGTTCAATTTGCATTTTCAGTGAGCAGACTCTGGCTTTATTTCCTTGAAAATGAAGCTCCTGCAGCCTCAGCAACCTAAGACTCTTGCAGCATTCCTGAAATGATAGTGCAAGCTTTCTTCATCTTCATTTGGAAATTTAAATGCAGATTTTGATACAGAAATTTCACTGCTTAACTTTCAAGCCTATTTTCTTCCTTTTTTATTACTTCTTGTCACTAAGTATTTCAACTGGAAATTAATCACTGTGTCGCCGTTATAAAATGATAAATGAATTAGGCTATTAACTTGTCTGCGGAAATTTTCTTTTAATAAGGGAACCTCTTTACGTGCACAATGACTAAGTATGATTTTGCACATCTGCGTTTGCAATCCTGAAATCCAATTCCAAAATACACCAACAAACTACATTTATACAATTGTAAGCTTCGAAAATGCATGCTGGCGTGCTAGTTAAGTCACTTTACCCAGATCCTGATGCCACTCAGTGGACAGCTATGGGATGAGTTATAAAGCAGAGCTTCTCAGTGAAGCTTGCTATCAAACCGTGGATGTAAACCAAAACCTCCTCTGTCTTTGAGGCACACTCCTTAAACTCTGATGCATAGTATGCATTTTTTAAATCTTTGTCAACCCTCCGAGAGAATGCAAAGGATCTATGATCTCTAGGTAATAATACATCAAATGCAAACATATTTATGCTTGTAAATCAAGGCCCTTGACATCTGATCAGTCCTTTGAAGACATCAAAGTTGTTTTTAATCCAGCATCTGCGGTTGTTGGGCTTCTTTAAAATCATCATAGAGCGCTGGAATTTATAACAAAAGTATCGGTAGGCTTGAAAGAACGTCTCAGAACATTGAGAAGATTTGAATTCACAAGGGATTCACCTTGAAGCTCTTAATTCAACTAATTTAGCTCAAGTGCTTGCATTTACTGTAATAGAAACTGCGTGACGGGGCTTAGAGTTAAAATTGTACCTGTTTTGGCCTATACAAAGAAGGACATTTGCAGGGAAAAAAAAATAAAAATGTACTGGATTCTTAGTAAGCACTACCTAAATAAAGACTGCACTTTCGTGGCACGGGGCTTCTTTTGTAGGAGGAAGATGCAAATGCCACTCTGTGCAGTCATTGTATATGATGTCAAACAGCCTGCTAAATATAGCAGGCTGTGTTATGGAAAGGGAACTGCAAAACTTTCATGTGTCTCGAGATTTTAACCCTTTCTGATGCCTTTCAGTCTGTTTTAGGATTGGTGGAACTTAACCGAAGTGTATGCCTTGGTGAATTTATGGGTGTAATATCTAATACACATTCAGGTGGAAACACGTGGATTTAATAAGGTTTGTGCATTCAAATTTAAGACCAGACCTCAAAGCTGCAAAACGAAACACATGACTGTCAGCAGTCACGGCTGCTCAATCAGTGTCTGAATAAGACTAAGCATCAAGCCCGCCCAGGATCTGAGTGGCATGAATCCCTGTGGTTTTAAGGTATTTCAACTCTGGAATTACAGGAAAATTGATGTTTTGCTTCTCTTGAACTGCCTTCAAAGCTGGACATTTGTTTCATTTGAAAATCCCCTTCCTGCTCCTTGTTTCTCATCTTGAATGCCTATTTTATTTTATTTTATTTTTAGTCTTTTATGTCACTTTTTCAGGCAGTTTTCAATATGAGGTAGACTCTTCCACAGCAGTGTTGTGGCGGGGTGAATATTTTCACAGGTGTAAAGGAACAGAGAGATTGCTGTAGTTGGCTAACTGGCAAGATTGAGAACGATTTGCTCCTGTGGGAAAAGTGCTCTGGGTGACCAAAATCAGATCCTTGCTCTCCTAATGAAAGTGACAGGTAAAGACAATTCCTACAGAGTATGTGGCAAATAATTAAATACAATCAGATTTGTATGTGAGAAGATGTGTGTTACCTTTCCTTGCCCGACTGAAAATTCTCATTGACCTTAGGCAATGCAAGAAGTATAAGTAATACTGAAACTAGTTCGTGTTTTCTTGCACGATGATAGGAAAGGATGCTCTGCATTATTGTGCACCGCACTAATTCTGTGTGTCTCATTAATCACCTTCACAGCACTCAGGATCAAGTCAAGTCCTTTGGAAGAGGCCAAATGTCTTCATTAAATTCTGAAGGAGTCCAGCACGGGCAGCACCCTAACTTGTTCCTCAGGAGAGGTGCAGGGAATAAGTTATCTGAAGGTGAGAGGAAAAATATTCAGAAGGGCATCAGTAACCAAAGGGTTTGCAATTAACCGTAGAAAAAATAGTGCTCTGTGGCATTTGTGCTGCCTTGGCCTAGCCTTTTATTTCCCCTGGGACGTATTTATAGTTCAAACCAACGTCTTGAAAGAAGTTAATTGCGCAAGGTTTTTACTCAGGAAATTTGGAAGTCAAGAGTTTAAAGCCAAGGTCCAGATTCTGCTTTTTTTTTTTTTTTTTTTTTTTCTTCTGTCCTTCTTCCCAGCCTTAGAGAGACAAGTTAGAGGAAATGTGTACTTCTCTCCTGCCAGCCCCAGAATCATAACCCCAGATCTTAAAGTTGGTTGCAGATTGATCGCCAAGGTTAATGCACGCAGCAGGAGCTGCCGAGTGCTGGGACTGCTTCAGTGGGAGACACTGCGATGGACCCGCTCCTCCCATCATCACAAAGAGCTGGAAGAGAAATGGAAATGAATATTCCGTATTTGGCAGAATCCAAGGTTGCTGTGAAGCTGTGTCAGTCCCGTACCTTTTCAGAACCATTTTCAGAACCCTTTATTGAGTTGTTTTTAAATTTCATCTATAAGGTAAATGTTTGAATGAAACAAAAACACAACACAACAAGCAATGTTAAGAGAAAAGCTTGTTATCTGTAGCCTTTACTATAGTTATAGTCTTAATTATAACCTAATGGGGGCGAGGAGCCTGTTATAATTCATGGCAGCAGCTACACTGAAACTGGCCCCATTGTGGATGCAGAGGAATTAAGGTTATGTGTAGCATACGTGACTTTATAACATATATGCTTTGGGGTTTTGTTTTCCTAATAGAAAAATATAAGATGGCTTGTTTTTTAAGACTCAAACACACAGTTTAGAGGAAGGGAAAATGCATTTTCAGCTAATTTTTGTTAGCGTAATAATGTATTTTAGCATTACAAGTAAAGTTGTAGATAAATGCACATTGTTAATGTGTAGTACCAGGGACTATATTTTGTTATTGATGTTATGCAGTTGTGGCCATGGAAAAGTATTCTCTATGTAGTTTTTGCTACTTGGATTTAGAAATTTAAATAACTTCTTAAAATTCACCTCTCATTGTATGAATAAAGGTATCTGTGGTGTTCCTGCAGAACACATTTAGGAGCAAAATCTGGTAATTTCTAGAAGAATGAGACAAATACAGATTTATTCACTTAGGTACCATATTTAGTTCCATTTTATTTTCATTGATATGTTTCAATTCGTGACATGCTTTGATTTTTTTTCGATTTTTTATGTTTGAAAGATATCAAATCGCATTCTGGATTTAATTGAGGAAAACTCCATCAGCTGCACTGGAGCTGTGCCTGTTTTCACTAGCAGGAAAAATGAGTCAGTGAACTCAAATTACATAGGAAAATCACTTAAAAGGTGTGCTTTTCCAGATTGGTGAAGGACAGCAGATGTATTTTATTACAAATGAAAGCAGTGCCATGTTTTAGAGGTCACACATATGGGGCCAAATTCTGGCTGGCAGTTTTGTTTACACACATGCCAGAAAACCTGAAATTGAAGGCGAAATACTGGCAGGGAATTTTCTGCTCTTATTTCCAGTTCTCATTCTGCGTTCCCCCAGGGATATGGTCATCAAGTCCTGGGACCAGGACCCCAAAGAAAGCTGTGTTCCTTGAGTTAAACCTACCCGATTACCTGAGACATGCAGCTAGCGTGTTATTCCCCAGCCTGTTCTCTGCTGCCCGTGGTGGGAAATGAGCCCCTACAGAAGGAAGATTATTTCCCAGAAGAGAGGATGCCCAGGTGAGCAGAGTAACGGTTTGGGTCAGTTCTCATATTCTGCAGATTAACACCTAGAAAGGTGGTAATCCAGTTTTCTCACCACTAGTTTCTACACAAATTTGCAATTCTGATCTATTTTTCATGATGTTTTAATTTTACATATGGTTTTCCAAAATTTAGATAGTTGTTTATAATTATCTCCTTTACTTTTTCTTTACCAGAAGAACCTCATCAGCTAATTCCTGCCTGTCTCCTTTGAGTTAATTTATTTGTGATAACCCCATCAATCTACTGGGTATATAAATCAACTGTGTAGCTCAGCAGCTGCTTGATAAATGAGTGCCCAGCTGCTGACACACTGCCTCTGCTACATACAGGGTCCTGGCTTCCAGCGAGCTTTGAAGTGGCAAACAAAAGTGTTTAGTATTGACCTATGAATCCTAAAGGGGTGAAGACCGTTCTCCTTGACACTCTCCCAGCATCACAGTGTCCTGGAAGGATGGCAGATATTACCCCTGTGACAGAAAAGCGAGGCTCTCTGCCCTTCACAACATAAGCCTGGTGCAAAAACCCCAGCAACAAGACTGGGGGAATACCTGATGCTGTTGGGGCAAGGCAAGGGTGCATTTTTGGCTGTGCCGCTCCGAGCTGTGCAGAGCTCTGTGTGCTCCAGCAGTCAGCGGTGCTGGCGAGGTACCAAAGCTCCTGGTGTGTTTAGTTCGGTCGTGTCGCTGCAGTTCAACTAACCACGGAGAAGGCTGCTGGCTTTAATTTCCCTCTGGTGTTTGCGTGGGCCTGGAAACACTAGCTCTGCTGTCAATGTGAGGTTTTATTAGCTGAAGCTGAAGTTTTTTACCTTATTTTTCTAATAGAAAACTGGTTGTATTGGTTATATTGATGATATTACATATGCAAATATATTTGATGTCAGAGGATAAATGTCTCCATTCTTTGGAAATACACCCATGCAGCCTTGCTGCTGTGTAAGCTCTGACTTATTTTAGGGACCCTTGACGGTCCTCAAAAAATTTCTTGTTTTGTGCAATAATGTAATTTCTTAATATGCTGTGCTGCTAGTTTTTCCTCATTCCCCATCCGTACTGGCAACACACTTCTGCTTTTCATCACCAAATTTCTAATGCATGCTGTGATGCTGACCAGTTTATTTAATGGCTCTGCCTGTTGCTCAAACCTGTAAAATTGATGTTTCAATTGTTACTTAATACAAAAATTAACAGAGCTCTGGGCAGGCAGGCTGAGAGTATCAGAGGAAAGGTTTTGTGTAATTATGTATTTATGTAATTATGTATTGTTAAATTTTGTCAGATTAAGGGTGTCCCTGTGGGTAAGCACATGATGCCGTATCCCCAAATGGGCGATTGATGAAGATACTACTACATAGAAGATACTACTACATAGGTAATATATATATATATATATATGTATATAATATTTCTTTATTTGGCTTGCATGCATAAAGTTATAGAAGAGTAACCAATTACTGCTTGTCTGACGAGCAGTAAGGGAGACACAGGGCTGACAAATGGTTGCCTGACAATCTGCTGAGTCTTGGTAGGAGGAGTGTGTTCGTGGGCTTCTCGGGCAGATGCTCTCTGTTTTATTGTGTGCTTTGCTCACTGTCATTCTTTGTTGGAATTGTTCGTTTATCCTGAAGTAACTTTTCTTTATGCAGAGACCCTGGATTCTGTCTCGTGTGGGAAGGGAAGAGTGAGAGAAAGCCCAGACTTGCCCACTCGCACCCTTTTTGTACGTGCGAGCTGCATATTACTGCTTTTGTTTCAAATGAATAAAATTTGTAAACTTAATGGAACCATGAACAGAACTGCAAAGTAACTTCCAAAAAAATCTTGGCCTCAAGTTTTAACTGAACAGATTTTGTTCATTCTTATTCCTCTTTTGTGTTAGTTGAATTAAAGAAAAATAACTCTTCTTGGAACGCAAAGTGAAAGCTGTAATGTTACATACGCAAAAGCTGTGCAAGTTGGGCAGGAAAATAATGTTCCTGAGTATTTGCAGTGGTTGTGCTTGCTCAGAAAGGAAGCTGACACAACACTGTTTCCCTTTTCTAACCGTTCTCCGCTCAAACTCAGCTATTAAACATAGTACAGGTCATCGATCACAGGCAACACACTGAAAGCATTGAAACAGCCTTCAGACAGGTTTACTGAATGGTTTTGTATAACAGATAGATCCTAGGAAGTAGTCATCTGCTGATGTTTATTCCCCCAAAGAAGCTACGGGCTGCGTCATTACGTGACATTTACTGTCCTAAGCTTTACTGCACCTCACACCACGGCTCTCTGCTGTAACCTCTTGTGCTAACTTCCACAGTTCGTTTTCCTCTTTGGCTCTTCATTGTGTGGTTACCAAAATGTCATGGCTATGAACCACGACAACAGTGATTTTCAGTGTTGGGTTTGTCCAGACTTGTGTATTTTCCTACCCAACAACAAAGATTACAGTATTAAAGCAGCAGTGATCTTCTGCTCTTCAGGTTTTCTTGCAAACATAGCAAAGAAAACAAATTACCAGGAGAAATCACAGCTAGCTTTTGACTGGTTCAGGCTGACTTTTACCAGTCTCCAGTCTTATTAGATGTCAACTGGAGATTTTTTTGCACAAGTTTAAGAATTTCTCTCCAATTTGATCGTGCAAAAGATTACGAGCAATGAAAGTATTATTTAGTGGGAGAAACGTCATACTGTCCCTTGGAACTGAATCTCATCTGCAATTGTGTGACTTCTGGATGTGTCTCAGGGAATTAAAACTTTGTAATTTAAATTAGAAGAATTGTTTTTAAGTAACTGGAAAGGATAAGTATTATTTATTTTATTGAGGCCCCAGGCTCAACAGAGTTACAAACTTTTCCAGTTATAATGATGAATAAAGATATTAAAGGCTCTTTGGTTTGCAAGTCATTTAAGCAATTTCTCAAAATGCTTGAGCTGTTATTGATAGAAGTGGAATCCAAACAGAAGTCGGTACCAAAACGATTAACGTGTACTCAGCATGCGATTGCCCTGCAGGAATTGTTCCAGGCCACGTTAATTAGTCAGTAGCTAAATGTGAGGCCACCTTGCATTCAGCCTGCTGTGGGGAAAAGCAGCAGGGGCTGGGCAAGGACATTACATCCAAGTAGGTAAGTCCTTCTCATATGGACCTTCCTAATATTGATGTGGGAGCAATTATTTGTTGGACTCTCTCCTTTTAGGCAAGGTAAAACTGTCAGTGATAAATCTGTGTTCATCAAGTCGGTTAAATGTTTAGGAATAAGCAACAAGTTTTACCTCTGGCATTGTGTACACTACAGCTGCCTAATCACGAGAGGGAGATCAGGTAAAGATCTTCATTCTTTCAATTTATTCTTCTTTACATTGAGCAAATTAAATGTTTATTACAAATGAGTATTTTTGTTCAAATTCTCCTTAAAACCAGTTCTTTGAATGAAACCACTTGTTCAGTGCATGCTCTTCCTTGAGTGCCATGAGATTCAGCAGCACAACTCATCTGGATCCCTGCAACACAGTTAGTTTCCCAATAGCTTCGTGGCCTGTGGTACATCAAGGGGAAAAACAAAACAAAACAAAAAACCAAACCACATGTTATGACTTTACATTTTGAGGGGGTTTATGCTTCTGCTTCTCAGAAAAGCTGCAAGTGTGATCCTTCCCAGCAAGGGAAGTGTGATGAGGGGTTTGGTCTTAATTTCAGTTTTGATTAAATCCTGTTAAACTGCTTGTCTGCTGTATGTATTTTCTGTGTTTGCTTGCAGGCTTGCATATGTATGAAAATATGTACTCTCCCATCCCTGCTTCTTCAGGAAGAAGATCGGTATTTTATGCATAGTCTTCATTGCACGTATTAAAATGCAATGGAAAATGCAGGCAATGAGGAGAAGCTTTTTCTTTCCTTCTTTCCTTCTTTCCTTCTTTCCTTCTTTCCTTCTTTCCTTCTTTCCTTCTTTCCTTCTTTCCTTCTTTCCTTCTTTCCTTCTTTCCTTCTTTCCTTCTTTCCTTCTTTCCTTCTTTCCTTCTTTCCTTCTTTCCTTTAAAAAAAAAAAAAAAGACCTTGTGAAAATACGAGCAGTTTCTGTTCTGATGGTGGAAAAGATTTTGCACATTCATAAATTGGAATGACTTTCTTCAAACTTTAGACAGTGCATGTAAGCAAATGGCCATTTTTCTGACGTCTGTGGGAAAAGCAGTGTTTGCATATCAGGGTCCATATCAGTAAGATTTCTGTAACATATTTGTATTATCTGTGAGCTGATCAGGTAAATTCTTAGGAGCTTTACTGTGTGTACCACAGCTTTAGTATTAGAGCTCCTCCGTTGGCCAGGCACCGTTCCTGCAGGAGCTGGGCTACCTGAGGTCAGTAACACCACCAGTATTTATTAGTAAACTCTTTCTTCTTGCCACAGATCACAGGACTGCAGGTAGAACTACTGGGTAGAACTGCTGTGGCCACGGGTAGCCTTGTCCTGCAGTTTGTGCTCCTGTGGGATGCTGCAGGCTCAGCTCTACGCCAGCATCCTACGTGGAGAGGGAAGCACACGAAGGGAAAGAGTGTGTGTAAGCTCTCCTTCCAACCAGACCTCACTCACTCAATTAAGAAAATTGCTTTGGAAGGAGAAAAAGCCCAGTTGTGTGTAGGGTAGCGTGCTATACGCTATCAAAATAATTATTTAATGGAAGAAAAAAAAAGTCAGTCTTCGGTTTTGGGAAATGGGACTTCATTGTGGAAAAGTGAGAATGGTTCTCACTACAGAGACTACAAAAGAGTAATAACTGAGAGCTTTTAAAAGCAGGAATAATTCTACCAGGATTACCTGAACTACACCGAAGACTGGAAATTAGTGGAACTCCCGACGGTGGGAAATGCTGCAATACCCTTCACACAGCGGTGAGGGGAAGGCGTCCAGTGAGTTCTGAGCCTGGCAAATTACTTAAGAAGATTATATTATGTGATCTGCTGTGCTGGGTGTTTCTGGGAGGCCCCAGTCCAACATAGGATTTTCCCGTGTTATTAACTATAAGCTATGGAACTTTTGAGTACTTATAGTTAAGTAAATGCTTAAACGATTTCCTCATTTGAGACCCAAATGATATGGAAAGTCTTTGCAGTGCTATAGCTGAAAGGTATGTTACAAATTACTTTTCTTCCCCCCATCCCTGTAGGGCATGAGCATACTCAAAGTTCCCTTTTATAAATTTCAGTGGTAGATAATAAGAATTTCAGGAAGTGATGGAAATTGAGATTTAATTTACTGCATTTATTTCATTAAATGGTTCATTCATATATATATATAAAAAAAAAAAAAGGAGGCATAAGTTAGAGTATACTTAGAAGTAATTACAGGTCAGGAAGGTAAAAAAAAATCTTTAATTTCACTCTCAAAGTAAATAAAAGAAAAATAAATTTGTTGTCACTGATTAAGGAGTGTAATAGCAACAGCTACAAGAATTAATCTAACATGGTATTTTCATTACAGGATCCTGAATTCTGGTTGCTGTTACCGTACTACACAGCATTATGAGTTCTCATAATCCCATTCAGTTCATCGGGAAAGAGGTGCCAGTCGATAAATTTATGGGGATCCGAATCTAGCCCTGAAACCTAAAAATGTGGGAAAGCACAGTACATTAGAAAAAAATGAAAGCATGTCAATAAGCATATGATTAAATTGTATTCACATTAAAAAGTGGTTCAATAATATCAATAGCCATTACGAGAGGAACAACAAGGATGGAGTTCTCAGCGCTTTGGAAAAACATTTTGTTGTTTGCGTTTGGTTTATTCATAACATACGTAACGAAAAGTGTAAAAATGCAAGGGAAGTAATGAGTTTTTTTATACAGAACTTGAGGGTGGAACGATACAAAACATAAATATGAGGAGTTTTAAAGTGCCAGGAGCAAACTTGAAAGTTCTCTCTGTGATGAAATACGGTGTCCAAAATATTTACTAAGAGCTGTTGGTTATTCCTGGATCTGGGCATGGAAAGCAGTAATTAGACTGAGAAGGACAACAGCTCTTTGAGGCAGATGTGTGAGTCTTCGAGGGAGGAAGGCCAGTTGCAGAGGGAGGCTCCGTGGCTGCAGGAACACAAATCCATTGCATGGAGCTGGTTGCAGGGTTGCGACAGCAGCACAGAAAGGAACAGAGAGGAATACACGTGAAGCAGGCTCAATGAAACTCTGCAGAGAGCACAGGCACAGGCTCCTTTCCTATCCATTGTATTTTATATCTTTTTTGTAGACCCAGGGTGTGCTCTGCTCTGTTCAGACAGAGCTTTGGTGAGCAGTTAAGGTAAATATGTGTATGCGCATGTTGTTTGTCACTTCACCTGTCATTTTCACTTCCTTCTTAAGGTCCTAATCTATGAAGTTTTCCTTATCAGAAAAATAGAGCATATTTTAATTTTATCCTTGCTGCGCTCTTCCTTAGATTTGGTCCTAAGTTTGTAAATTTTTCTGGTTCCATTATCAAGCAGATAGCGATTCCACAAACAAAAACATTTTCCAGTAGCACAGCTCCATGCTGCAGGCCTTTTTCCTTCTAAGGTGCAAACGCTTCATTTCTGGCTTAGGAAATATGCAAGTGAATGTTAAGTTTCTTGCTTTTTACCTCAAAACAGAAAAAAAAAATCAAACTGGATTGTCTGCAATGGGGGAGAAGAGGAGGCTGGCAAAATTCTTGAACAAATCTTCAGACTCCCAAGTTCAGCACCAAGCATTTCACAGAGAGAGGGAATACGATGGTGGGGCATGCGAGCCCAGGCTCAGAGCTGCTGTAAGAAAGTTTGTGTCTAGCACCACTTGGTTGTTGGGTTCTGGCTTTATTGCAGAAAAGTGGGTCACCAGCATGGTATTGGCAGCTCGATTTTGGTGTCATTCAGGCAGCTGCAGAGAAACAAAGAGGCCATCGATTAGTCTAGCAACAGCCTGGGGCCTCTGTGTTTTAATTACATCTGTTCTTTGGTCTGAATTCATCCCTGTTGAAACATCATTAACTTAAATGAAACTCCACAATAGAGGAATTTGACCCAATATGTTTTTTTTTCTCTCTCTCTCTCTTTTTTTTTTTTTTTTTCCTCTGTGGTATTTGTACGTCTAATTCTGTTCAAAATACATCTTTCCCACAACAGGCATTCGGGTTTCTGTACAAGTTGGAGGTTGGGGTTGCAAAGAAGTGCTCAGACCAGGCCATCGTATGCCCCGTGGCACGGTCCCCAGCCGCTCCAGCTGAGAGGAGCCCGGCAGATTCTGCTGTTGGCTCTGTCTGTCCATCTGTCCAGCTTTTGCAAGCAACCTCACTCAGTTTTCAGTGCCATTTCCAAGCAGTGAAATAAGATAATTTTTCCTGGTTTCTTTTACCATAAGATGAAGCTTTAAGCAACTGTTAAAATTTATTCCTCTGTTCAGGGGGCCTTCTCCAGCCCAGCTTGCAGCTCTGTGTTCAGCACAGGAAAGCCAGTTGCATTGCTTGATTTACCAAATGGGAACTGATTATCAGGAGCATTTGGGCACTGTGGGCAGCAGGCTAGGGATGAGAAGTCCCCAGTGAAATCCACTGTCAGGTGGGTCCCTTTCTGGACGGGGTTGTTTTATCTGGGACTTTTCTGCCAAGGCTTGGCTGTTCTGTTGGTAGTTTTGGTTTTACTTTATTTTTTTCCCCCTCCAGGGTGGTTATCTGAGACACGGGGAGCCAAACCACGTCAGGGGTTAGCACTACGACGCGACGCCCCTCAAACACACGCAGGAATGCATCTGGTACGCGAGGCATCCGGAGGGGGAGCCTTTACCCGTGTGGGCACGTGGTACCGGGGGGTGCGATCCTCAGGGGGGCTCCCAGCAGGGCAGAGGGGTGGTGAGAGGCTGAGCCGTCACTCTTTTCCACAGCCACCCGCGCTGGCTGGCTCCGGCAGGACGCATGCAGCATCGAGAGCGGGAGCCAGCGGCCGGGAGCAGCAGTCTGTGGCCAAACCCACGCAGCGGGCGGCTTCAAGGGCAAATGGAGAGGCAGAGGCCAGGGTGTAGAGTCGCAGCAGCTGTCCTGGCCGGGCCCTTGCTCTCCTCCTTCCTGCAGGCCGCCCGGGTCAGAGCCCAGCAGGGCTCTCTAGCAGCGGAGAATGGGAGCTGGGCTGCCGAGGAAGCCCAGGGCAATGAGTCCTCGGAGCACGCCTTCTTCTCTCTGGATTACCAACATGTCCAAGTCCCCTTTGAAATCACGCTCTGGATCATGCTTGCATCCTTGGCCAAAATAGGTAAGGCGTCTCGGGAGGGTGGGGAGCGGTGCCTCACCTGCTCTGCGGGGTGGCCTGGGGACAGCAGTGGGGCAGGGATGTGTCAGTCCTTCCCCAAATCCCCTTTGTGATTAGGACCAGGAGGAAAAGGGACCAGCTGTGCTTCATCTCCAGAGCTCAAAGCTGTCTGGGATGGGAGAGAAGCAGGTGATCTTGGAGCTGGAGGTAACACGCCAAGTCCTAAGGAGACACACCTTGTACGTCAGACTTTTGCTGAGACCTAAGTTGTACAAATGTATCTATGTGCGTGGTGATAATCTGACTTGGAAGCAGCCACTGTGCCCTTCAGGGAACACTTCTAGCTGCTGTAATATTTCCATGAGCCAGATAAAGTCAAATGAAATGCATAAGGCGAGCAGACCTGCATTCATCTGCAGAACTTGCCATAGGAAGGGGGAATTTATATACCCTTCATTCCCCCCCTCCCACAGAAACTGTGATTGCTTCTGTGAAATTACCAGTATATAGGTAATTTTACCACCTTTTCCTTTTATTTTTTCCTCAGAAAGAAAATATCTCTGAGATTTGTTTAGATCAGAATTACTTTCAGATGGAAACGGTCTCTTCCTTTTGCTATTCTGCATATTATGTGATGAGGTTTCAATTCCGTCAGTACATGTGAAGAAATAGCAATAATCACAGATATTTATGTATTTATTTATTTATTTATTTCTATTCTAGTTTGGTTTGTTTGATTTCTTTCTTTTAATATAAACCCACCTTGAGTATTTCTGGTGTTTGTCAGGATTTCTAACACTGGGTGTTGCACAAGGCTGGCCTGATTGGAAAAAATAAATAATAATAATAAACCAATGTTACCATTAGATTTGTGCTAATTATTAAGCGATGTGAAAACTGGTACTATTTATAATTTATGAGATTCCTTTTTTTGATCTTTTTGGATGTATGGGATCTGTATTGTGTTTAAAATTAGCAGTTACTATTTCTGTTCTTCGTGCTTAGTTGGCATGCTAGCTAGATTACATCATAAATTATCTCAGACTTTTTTTATGCAGATTTTTTTTAATGTTTGTGTGTTACCAAAAATACATCTCTAATGTTATGCTATGTTGAACTGCAGTCTGAAGCAATAATAAATTCAGAAAGTTCGGTATTTCCAGCAATCTTTCAGATTTTTGAGCCAGTTTCTGACTGGGCAATTTTACTGTAATTATGCACATCTTTTGTTACGATTCCAAAGTTCAGCCTGCAGAAGGAGGGAAGTTAGGAAGCTTCCTCACCCCACTGAGGAGCTGGTGTTCTTTGGCCAGTTTGGCTGCTGAGATAATATGGAATTTTTCTCTTCATCCCCTTGCAGGCTTTCATCTCTATAGCAAGCTGCCTTCCGTCGTCCCGGAGAGCTGTTTACTGATATTTGTAGGACTCATCATGGGAGGCATCATCTATGGCTTAAATGACAAGTCGCCACCCGTTATGGACAGTGACATCTTCTTCCTCTACCTGCTGCCACCCATCGTCCTCGACGCAGGGTACTTCATGCCCAGCCGTCCCTTTTTTGAGAACATCGGCACCATCCTCCTGTACGCGGTGGTGGGGACGATATGGAACGTGTTTGGGATTGGCTTCTCGCTCTATGGCATCTGCCAAGTGAGGGCCTTCCACCTGCAGGACGTCTCCTTGCTCCATAACCTCCTGTTCGGCAGCCTGATCGCTGCGGTGGACCCGGTGGCAGTGCTGGCTGTGTTTGAGGAGATACACGTCAACGAAAAGCTGCACATTTTGGTCTTCGGCGAGTCGCTCCTGAATGATGCGGTGACCGTGGTAAGCCTTCCTCCATGGGTAGAAAAGGCTTCAACAACCTCTTTTAGCAGAGGACGTCTGGTCCTATTCTCTGGCCTCAGGTTGTTGGGTGGACAACCCTTCAGTGCAGCAGAGCTGAGCACCTGGCTCGTGTCTGTAGGCAGAAATGAATGCGAGTGCTACGGCACCATCCTGTCGGGCTGCTGAACGCTTTGCTAATGGCTGTTTTTCTCTTTCCTTTCTCACCCAGGTGCTCTACAAGTTATTTCGCTCGTTCTGTGAAATGCCAGCCATCAAGACTGTGGATGTTTTTGCTGGAGTTGGAAAATTCTTTGTGGTGGGGATTGGAGGAGTTTTAGTAGGTCTTACCTTCGGGATGACGGCCGCCTTTACCACGCGATTTACCAAGGACATCCGCGTAATTGAGCCGCTCTTTGTCTTCCTGTACAGTTATCTGTCCTATCTCACTGCGGAAATGTTTCACCTCTCTGGAATCGTGGCGTAAGTATGTCCTAGCACCTCGTATCTCCAGGAAAGCTTTTTGGTTATACTTGCTGAAAAGCATCAGAAATTTGTAAAGTAAGTTTGCTTAGCTGGAAATGTCTGTGACAGCGAACAGAAAATTCAGGTGGGCCTGTCCATCACCTCTCTGTCTCTAGTAACGTTTGAAATCCTCTGACCAATTTCAGCCAAATTTGGCAGAGATCAGGGTTTCAAAGGTGCTAAACCAAAACTGCTTGCAATTTATTATAGCACAGTCAGTTCCATACACTGATAATTGAACACTGTGCTTACTGTCTCGTTGTGAATTTCACATGCAGAGCTGGTGCTGAGAAAAAACGGATCTACTAGTCCTAATGGTTGAAGAAATCTCACCTTGGAAAGCAGAGACAGATGAAAAACACAGCACAAGTGATTCAGTCCTGATACCTGTGGGCTGATATTTGTTGCATTTGGTTCTACTGCCTAAACTAAGTTAGCTGCTGCTGAGGATCACAACCAACCATTTAATATTTCCCTAAAGAGTATAAAGTGCACTTAGACTCCATTGATAGCTACGTTGTAAACAACTGTAAATCTGATGATAAGATTAAAAAAAAAAAAAAGGCTACAAAATAGAGACAGGAGTATCTGGGAGATCTATTTTAAAACCAATGATGCTCCTTTGGATTTAAACTATTCCTATACCTTGCAGATTTTGTTTCCTTGAATAGTTGATGTGAGCAATATTCTGGCATTACTGACAACAAGTCTAGCTCTGGGAATAGGTAAGAGAAAGCCTATTTATAGGAGCAAAAGACAGAACAGTGAAATAAATATAATGCTGCATAATCATCGTGGAGCAGAAAACATTCAATCCTAATGGTGTCTCCTCCTATCAATCACAATCTTCTGTACCCATTATGGAACCCATTTTCTATTCTTTTGAATAATGTATTGTTTCTAAAGCAAAGCAATTGCAAAGGCAGCCGATTCCTGCACTACTGCTCTTATAATTGGCAAATTATAAATGCCTCTTTTATATATCTTGATTTTTAAACAATACATTCATTTCTGACCAGGGAATACTGTATTATAAGAAACAGACCTTTCAAAGAAACCAAATGTTTCTTTGACAATAATTTGATTGCCAAAAATAATAAATTCTACATAGTCTAAAGAAAAAAAAAAAGAAAAAAAAAAAGAAAAATGAATGTAACCCAATCTGCTAAGCAGTTCTGCAAATGCTTTTTAGTTTGAAATATATATATTTTTTCTCCTCATCCTAGTGGCAGTGTCCACCTTTGAAGCTGTGAGAGAATAGGTCAAATTTCTTCTTTCTTTGTGAAGCTAATCTTTCCTCCATAAAACACTTTCAAAACATGGCTCTGGAAGTCAGTGGCCATAAATACTTGTTGGACTTCTTAGTTCCTAGTTGGAACTATTTTATTTGCTATTTATTGAGGCAGTTACTGGAACTGAAGAATTCTTTTATTTAACTTGTGCTTGAGGCAAAGTGGGTCAGTCTGAAATCAAAAAGACCGATTTCAGAATATTTTTAAGTATTGGTACATTTTCTTAATAGATGAAGGAACTTAAACACTTTTTGAAAAAGGATTTGAACGTTGTGTCAGGCTGCTGAGTAAAATGGGATCTTTTCCCCAGTAAAAACATCATGGCTTTTCTGAAGCTGACCTTTTGTATCCTATGTCTTTACTGCAAGTCCTTTCCATCAACACCAGTTTTGTTTGTGGACAAAAACAAATGTTTCTTTCTCCTTTGAAAAATGTATCTTTTTTTTTTTTTTTAATGGCAATGAGGAAAAACAAATAATTATTTTAAGATGAGTAAACAGAAATGTTTATGTGTTTGTTGTTTTCATTTGTTTGAATGCCAAGCCAAGGAATCAGTAACTCACAGTGGGTGGAAGTCCATCTTCATTTGAAAAAGTCTTTTTTTTTTAATTGTAATGTCTTGTTTGTTTTTCCAACCAAATATCAGATAAGTGTTTTTCCATAATGTTATCACTGATTTTCTTAGTGGTTTAAGTAGAGCAGAAATGAATGTAGCTGTTGTTCATTCCCTTTGCCTTGCTCCAATAATATATGCGGTTATGGCAGTGGTGCTGCATTAGTGATTCACCGATGAGCCAGAAGAAAGTGGCCCTTATTCTGCTCTTGTTAGCAGCCGAGCAAACTGGGAGCAGCAACACGATGGCCGACTCTGTCTTCCTGAAATAAAGAGCTGTGGAGAAGGGAATCAGGGTCTGTGATTTCATGCAGGTTACAAAACCACAACCAGATGAAAACTCTCCTGATCAGCAAAGACGTGGAGACTTTGATTAGTTCATTTTGATACTTGAGCTGAAGCAGGACAGCAGTTACCATGAAATCCCCTGTGAAAGGAGGTTTCAGTCAGTAAAACTCTGTGGATGGCCTTCCAAACACCAGCAGAAATCAGATCTCAGAGAAGTAAATCCATCTTGCCGTTGTCGGTCCAACATTTGAAACAAAATGTTTCTGTTGGGGCTAAAATATAAAAAATGGAGCTTTGACTCTCTGAGCACTCAATTGTTCTGACCTTCCAAGACTGCTGGCCTGAATACGTATTGATTTGAAAAGCTGATGAATTAGGCTAACCACATGTACCCTGTAACTTGAAAAACCAATTAACCATGAAAAATTGCAAGGCAGAAGTTTTAATTGGTGGAGCACACTTCTGAAGTGACCTTGGCTATGCGATACACGAGGAAGTTGAATGTTCCGACTATAGCGACACTCTCTAATTTGCTCAGAAACACAGCAGTGCTCTTGGAAGCCGTTTCTTGGCTCATTGTGCAGCCTGATGAGTGTTCATTAAGATTTTTATTTTTACTGCTTGAGCATTTTGTTGGGTTTTGTTTGGATGGAGGGGATGGCTTCCTCGCTGTGCCCATAGAATGTGCATTGCAACTCTGGATGGGCTGGGAATTAGGCAGCGTGAGGTATGTCTTGTGCTTGAGTTTCTCCAGCTTTAGGCTATTTTTTTTCCCCTGGGTGCAGGAGTGCAGCATTCGAGCTGCTCTGTGATTCTGAATCCTAGAAGAGTCTGCTGTAGTGACCAGACAGCAAACAAACTCAAAGGAGTCCTATTTATGAATTTCTCATACCGAGAAAAAACTCTCTTCCTCTCAAATGTCTTTTTCCCATCCAGGAGAAATAGCTCCTACAAATGAAACTCTTCGGCCCAGGTGGTGAGAGACTGGCGCAGTCAGAGCGCTAAAGCTGTGTGGTGGTGGGAAGTGTTGGGTGTACTGAACTGGAAGTATTGCAGTGTGGCTGTGATAAATGCAGATTGAGTTGTTTATCTGTTAAAAACCAGATTCAGGCAGTCTGGTCAACCCATGTGGTATCCTGCTGTCCTGGTGGTCCTGCCGACATCAGTGGGCTGATGTAGGAAGTGGATCACTACTGATGCAAACATCTGACACTGGATGAAGCCATTTTTATTTTTTTCTTAAATGTCAAAGTGTCAGTTTTCTGCACTGATGAAGAAAAATTTGTTTCATTTTCTCAGCATCATTGCTTGCGCCATGGGCATGAAACGTTACGTGGAGGCCAACATCTCTCTGAAGTCCCACACCACAGTCAAGTACTTCATGAAGATGTGGAGCAGCGTTAGTGACACCCTCATCTTCATCTTTCTTGGAGTTTCCACCATTGGAGAAAATCACGAGTGGAACTGGCCATACATTTGCTTCACTGTCATTTTCTGTCTCATTTGGAGAGCACTAGGTATGGTGAAATCATACTTTTTTTGGTGGTTGTTTGAGTGAAACATATAATTCTGTGAAATGGGAGAGTGTTTCTGCTCCCAACATCATCCTCTGCTGTTTCCCTGTGTGTGGTTATTACAGATGTGAACCCAAGGACTGGAAAGAGCTGCCCCAGCTGATATTTCTCCTCCTCCAGAACTGCTGTCTGGTTCAAAACCAAGCCATGCCCCTTACAGCAATTTCCTATCCTGTGCAACCACCACAGACAGCGCTGGTGCTAAATAGAAATTCTCATATCTAGTTTATTGATACATCAGTCCTAGACCCTTCTTTGATTACCACCATCTCCTATTCCATTTCAGTGTGGCTTAGTCCCTTGGTGTCTTCACAATAGGAGAACGGGTGTAAGTGCAGAGCCTGGGATCAAAGAGCTGTGTAAAACCCTGGGGCCTCTGACTGCATATTCTGAATTGCAGGGATTTAAGGGATTTAATTCATAACAACTTCTGTGTACAGCAGTGTCCTTAAATGGAAAACTGTTGGAGCCATCAGACAGCTGTCCCTGGAGATGCTGTTCTGCTTCACATAGCTTATTTCTGTGTAGATAAGAGCTGGGACCTAAAATGGAGATAATAGGAGAAAACGTGAGGATACTTGTGTAAATACAATTTTAGATGCCATGTTTAGGAATATAAATAGCTATAGTGAGTTGTCGTAACACCCATCCAGATTTATTTTTTTTTGGGTGGTGCTGGTGGTGATTACTTATAAGAACAAACCTGCATGTTGTGACATGGGAAGAAAATGCCAAGACCCAACACCTCAGTGCCTGTTTGTTCCTCTGTGGGAAAAACTGAAATGTTAGCAGGAAAATTATACCATGAAACAGTTTTGGAGCTGGGCTCCAAAACACTTAAACTGAGCTTTCCAAGGTGTGCTACAGACTCAGCAATTACCATTGTCCCTCTTTGGTCCCTCCCCCTGCTCAGTCAGGGTCAGCTAGAGCAGGATGCCCAGGACCGTGTCTCATCAGGTTTTTAATAGTAGATAGATAGCCAACAGATAATAGAAGGAAGAGTGTGGACATATCCACAGAAGGAAATACCACTTCACTGATAATTGTGGCTAAAGATATCTTCTTGAGATCAGTTACAGTGAAAACATGAGTCCTGGTGCCAGAGTACTCTGGGATCTCATTTTATAATGTAACGTAATCAAATATAATACTGTTTAATATTGTACAAATGTTTTTTTGAAAGAAAAAGATGATAGAGATGAACTCCATGACACCAATATGTTGCCATCTTCTTCCTTTTCTATCCTTCTCATTTATGAATGTTTTTATATATTAACAATATCTGCAGATACAACAAAGCAAAAGAATTTTGGCAAAGAATTCGATATCTACAAAGCATTCAATGGGATTTATGTTTACAAACCACTGAGTCAAGCAGAATGGCAATTTACTTGAACTCAAATTTGATAGACACTTCAAGAAATTGCTTAAATAGGATAAACCATGATTAGCAAGACACAGCAGAATGTGTTTTACTGGCTGTTAATACATGCCAAGGTTTGTTTTAATAACTGTGCACTGTAAATGCACTTGGAAAAGTGCATACATTCAAATCTTTTATGATTTTTTTTTTTTAAACTAGATGGCTTAGATGAAAAGAAGTTCTGAGTTATTTTGATTTTTTTTTTCTCATTGCATAATCATCCTGCATATCTGACCCTGAATGTGGGTCCCTGCAGCACCGTCATGCTCTGTGTGCAGGGTATCAGTGCATGGGGTGGGCAAGAGCTGGGCAGAAGTGGTTGGGGCTGGGCTTGAAGCACCTGCCTTGGAGGTGGTGGCAGAGGTGGGACCTGCTCAGCCCATCCAGGCTGCAGCAGATCTGGACGTGCTCATGGCACAGGCCCAAACCCTACAGATTCCTCCTGCAGGAATCAGGTACTTTGGGGTTGACAGTACTGGGCTGAGGGTGTAAGTTGTGCTGTAGTTCTTCTGGATTTAGTTCTGAGCCTTTTGGTGCAGAGTAGAGCATTTGCTTGAGCTAGAAGCTGCAAACCCCTTGTAACCAAATCCCTCCCCAGGAGCTCTTTGGGCACCCACAGCACGGTGCTCTGGGCGCAGGGCAGGTGCTGTGAGGCTCACTTCATTGAGCTCTCTATTTCTGATCATCCACAGGTTTTTGTTTACTTCTGCAATCACGTTGGTTATTTTTAGTTGAACATGTGTGGGAAGATGTTTGATTAGTACATTGCACGTACGCTACTTTTGAAGTTTATTTCTTCAAGGATGTTTTACAAACACCCTCTAGAGGAGCAATAGTGATGTGGGTCCTGCTAATTCCTAGCAACAGGCAATGACAGTCTGTGTCATCAGTTCTCAAAATGGCTATTAATCTTCAGGGAATAAAATGTTTGTCATACCAGTTTGTATTAAGATCACGGCTTATAGATTTAAGGCCAGACTTTTTGTACCTTTATGAATCTGTTTGTGTATTTGCAAGCGACTTTGAATTACATCAGTCGCTGTGTCACCTTACACAGTCTAAAGTTGAACAGCATAAGTCTTTGAGAGAAAAATTTGTGAAGAAAGAACATTAATGCAGGCTTAATTTTTTTTTTGTATATGTATTTTTTATTTTCGTCAGTAAATGGTATGCTCTGGGCATCCGCAGTCATTAGGATAATACTAAAAATCCTTTGCAGAGTTCAGAGTCCTCCTGAAGGAAACTCCAGTTTTCCAGGTGGACTGTGATAAGCACGAGGCTGAGGGGAAAAAAGAAAATTTACTACAAGATGACCTGATTAAATTTTATAGTCCTACAAAGTCCCCCAACCTGTCGCCAGTCACTGGTATCTGTTGTATTCCCCCAAATCAAAAATGTCTGGGGCTGGAAGAAAAGCCCTTCTCCAGGGGCTTTGTGGAGTTCTTGGGAATACACCCCCTTGGCCCTGGCCAAGTCCCAGTCATCAGTGTTTACCAGTTCAGTGATGTTCCACTGCAGAATATATCTTACAATTGTGAGTTTGAGATAATCAATATATTAGATATATTTATGTATCTGTTTGCTCTTTTCGTTTGATGTGTTGCCGTCTTCTTTCCTGTTTTTCAGGGGTTCTTGTACTGACCTTCTTCGTGAACAGGTTTCATGTGAACACTGTCACCAGCAAAGACCAGTTCATTATAGCGTATGGGGGTCTCCGCGGAGCCATTTGTTTCTCTTTGGTTTTCTTGCTTCCTGACTTTCACAGAAAGAAGCTCTTCATTGCAGCAACTACTGTTGTCATCCTCTTCACCGTGTTTGTACAGGTAAAAATGCTCAGTCCAAACGAATGAGAGATTCCTTTGCAGATGTAGAGAATGAGCATGATATACATATATATATATTTTTCAGATGAATAACCAGTACTAAGCTATTAGATCTGATGCACAAGCTAATGGATAATCTGTAGTTATTTTATGATGATTCAGCAGGAAGGGGATTGTGCTATCTCTTCCACTGGAAAAAAATTTGGGCGTGTTTCTTATTATAAAAGCCAGGAAAATCAAAAGTAAATGAAGTCATAACACATATGATTTATTTGCCTTTTTTTTTTTTTTAACTGAGCATTAAGCCTTGTTGCTTTCTGCTTTCTCTTTTGGCTGTAGCAATTCTTCAGTCATGTTGCAGAATCACAGCAGTGATTCTTGCACAGAAACCTTCCTCTTGCACCCACGTTTTTGCACAGCAGTTGCTGCTTTGGGTCTGCTGGATCTCGAAGAGGGAACAAGTTTTGCTAACGAGGGAACCTCATCTTGCTAACGGGGTCCCAACACAAGCGTGCAGAAGTTCCTATCAAAACTCCTCTGTGCTGGGATTACCCTGTGCATGCATTTCTGTGGCTCTGCCAGCAGTGCTGTGGTGGCTTTGTTTGGCGGATCCCGTTGGGTCCCGGTGCAGGGTGGCGGGTGCTGTGCTCGGCATCACCCTGACACCTGGCGGTGGCACAGCTCCGCGGGGCCTCCCGCTGCCCAGGAGCAAGCCTCCAACTCCCAGGCTGCTGCAAGGGTTTCCCTGAAATAACTCCTTTCACTTCACCAGTTAAATGCCGTCGTGTCCAAATGAGGATGCAGCGGAAAAAATTGGGGTCGTCTGGTCCCGAAGCGAGCGGGGTCAGGCATGTGATACTGAGCAGGGTGCTGAGCGGGGCTGCCCTCCTGCCGCCCCCCTCACACCCCGAGCCCCTTCTCCTGCCCTGGAGCAGCTGCTGGGCCTGCAGGAGGTGTCGGGTCAGGGCGACAGCTGCCGAGCATCGCCCCGCCGCACCGAGCCCCTTCTGCTCGGCCCCCTGAGCGTGGGTGTTGGGCTCCTGAGCAATGCAGAGGGGGCCGTGTTTGTGCTGGGGTCGACTCAGGGCTTCCCCACGTCCTCCTAATCCACATCATGAGCCAAAAATTCCTCACAAGTGTGACGTGCCCATGGGCTGGGAGCGGGGTGCCGCAGGGCAGCTGCACTGGGCCTGGCTCGCAGGGCTCCGCTGCGGGCTGAAAGGGGAGAGCAGGGGCCAGGGGGTGGGGGGAGCGCGGTTAGGTGGAGGGTGACAAGTTTTAAGATGCAAATGTGGGTCAGAAATTGAAAAGATACGGTCACTAGGCACGTCCGCTCATGCAGAGACGCTCTTGAGCCTCAGACAAAGGTTGTTCTAAGGCAGCAGCTCCATTCTGCAGAGCCCTCGGAAAATCCTTCCCAGGACCGGGAAAGGGCCTTTGTGTAACCTCAAAGCTCGGCTGGTGATGTCATCTCCGTGCTAAAGGGTGAGAGTTAAACAGGGTCCCCCGCGGGTTCATGGCAGCGGGGCGACCCCTTGACCCGCAGCCATTCAGCGGGGGCACAGCCCCTGCTAAGGCAGGCTCGGCGCGGGCTCCAGGTACCCGCAGTGTTGGGCCGCCGAGGCCACCACAAGAATAATGGGATGAGGGAGTAAATTTGCTCAAAAACTGAGACAGAAATATATTGCTGCAGCCCAGCACAGAAAACATAAGCAAAAAATACAGATGCAGGTATTAAGGTGAACCACCAGAAAGGCAGATTTATAAATGAGTCCTGCAGCTTCGGAAGCCACTTCATTTTCTTGGAAATGTTGATGATGCTGTCTGAAAAGCCTTGTGCCATGCAGACTAACAGCCAGCAGTAGGGCTTGTCCATACATGGGTCTGTCGGTGCTTTATATAGCCCAGGAAACATGGCTATTTTGGTCTTTCTAGCTCAGTTGCATGAGGTTCTTCCCACCACAGGCCTGGTTAATGATTTTGGGAAGGCTGACTGAAGAATTGTCAGTTCCTCAGTGCTCACTCTCTCAGCCTATTGGCCTCTGACCTCTTTGGTGAAATTGTTAGCAAATATGGTAACTGGGAAGTCTGTTTTTTTTTTTCTTTCTTTCTTTTTTTTTTTTTTCTGACTGTGCTTACCCATTAGCTACTGGATCACTGCTGATAGAAAAACTTTGTGTGAGCTGTGATAGAGCTGTCAGCATCGTGGGATGCACCCTAGGCGAATTACCCCCGGTGGGTGGAGGAGGTCACAGGGGACCTATGGGCATGTCATGGTCTGGTGGCTTGCAGTGACATGCGGGATTCCTGTAATTCTGCCAAGGCGAGGAAGGGCCAAAGGAATGCAGGTGTGTAGGTGTTTCTGAATCTGGGTGTCCTGGGCATAAATCTCTGAAATGCTACTTTAAGATGAATGCAAATGCAGCTAATTATCCACTGAAGGCAAGAGACCAAACTGCATAGGCTCTACTTAATTTTTTTAATATCTTTTGTTTCTGAATTTGTGAGTTTTATGTTATTTACTCTGAATAATTATGCATTTTTTATTGCTATTAGCTATTAAAATGACACATTAATTGTTTTTGCAATTAAAAATGTGTTCAACTCTCCTCTGTGCCAACATTTGTGACATTCAGAAGTCATAAACATCAACCACTCCATCATTTTTGCTGTAAACATGTCCTAGAAAAGTAATTTCGTATGGAAGCCAGACTAAGAAATGCATCACAGCAGCATTTTAGAAATTCTCTCACGAGGCTGAAAGGACATTAAGACTCTTCCCTTGACCCTTCCCACCAGGTGGATACTTTGATTAGTAGACTTAGCCACTGGCTGACAATCAAAGATCATTGGAGTAACGATCTGTGACATGCAATGCTCAGAAAGTTAGCAGACATCACCCCCTCCGGGCTGGGCAAACGCTGGTGGAGGCTGTGTGCTGTGAGGCACCCAGGGCTATCACCGTTTCTGGCTTTCCATCTGGAAGGCTGCAGGCTTGACCTTGAAATTACTGGTCGAGTCTTTGTGTCTTTGAGACGCCAGAGGCCAGATGAGGAGTGGGGAGCGCTTCCCCTCTCTGCCTACACATCCCAAAGCCTGCACATGAGTTCCCGTTGATGAGCTACCTCTAGAGCTCCCTGCAAGCAAGCCAGCTGTGTGGCTTGCAGTTGGGGTAAGAGTTTCCAGTGTTGTCAAAGCATCACAGGTAGTATCCTGCCTGTAAAGCAGAGCAGAGGAGAGGTGCTAGCTCGAGCAGCGGGCCTTGGTCTGACAACCAAGTTATTCCTGCTGCAGTGGCTGGGGTAGCTGTGGTTCACGTCCATGCCTGTGAATTTGCTCCAAAAGAAGCAGAGCAAGCACCGTGAGAACGCTTGGTGTGAAGACAGCCTGATTTTGGGTTTTGTGGTTTTGCTGCAGGGGATGACCATCCGCCCTCTCGTTGACCTGTTGCATGTCAAGAGGAAAAGAGAGAGTGCTCCCACGGTGGGAGAGCAGATCCATATCCGGGTAAGTGAGGCGTCCGTCAGCACACGGCTAGGGCTTTTCTGTGTGCTTTGCTGACAGCACGTGGTCCTTCTGAAATGCAGCTCCTGGGGCTCTACAGCTCTGCACACTCCTGTTTATTTTACCTGAATCCTCTGCAGGTCAGACCCTTTCCAGGTTTGAAGTCCTATGCAGCTTTCTAGCCACAGGTTGCTATTATTTGCATTGGAATAGCAAGCCCTGACTGACTCGGTCAGGCATTGTACTAGGTGATGCACAAACTTGACAGGAAAAGATGATCACTTGCCGAAAACTTGTGCTCTAACCTTGTTCAGAAAAGGGGAAAGGAAAAATGAGATTTGGGTGCTGAAATCTGAAGTCACTGAAGCCTAAAGGTGCAGTTTGGTTCACCTCGCTCTTGCCATCCAGGCGTTGGCCTTTCTAGTCACAGAGAGCTTCTGAATCTGGTTGTTTATGGCCAGTCACACTTCCATAAGCACGGCTCCTTTAGGAATGTTTTTGTCTTCTTTTTTTTTGGGTAGCTAGAAGTAAAGATATTAGTTCTGAGGACATTTATAAAATGTTTGCCATCATCACAATTAGATTGTATTACAGGGCTTTGTCTGAGGTGAACAGAATAGTTCAAGAGGTTGAAGAGGCTTTTCCTATAATGAACAGAGAATACTTTCTTCTTTTGTTAGTGACTGAATAGTAAATCATCTCTGAAAATGTGTTTATTGGGAAATGTGAGCAGAAAATGGCTATGTACCAATTAAGCTAAGCAGACAAGGTAACAATACCGATAGTTGGAAAGCAGGCATGCAGGGAGCCAGAAGCAGCTTTTGTCCTCAAATTTCTCAGCCCAGACAGTCAGGGCCCCTTCCCACCAGCCTGCCCAGGAGCTACCATCCAGCACTGGCAGCAGCCCTGGTGGGTGGAGGATTTGTCCATCACTCCTCCGACCGTATAGCCACCGATAGTGAGGGCTGTAAACCTGTGCAGCACTCTATCACAGCAGACAAGAGAACTGTTCTGCCTCTAACCCCACAAAAAATCCATTTCTAAGAATTAGAGGTGAAGGAAGCTCTGGGAGCATTGGTACCCAAGTGAAGGGGCTTGGAGCAGTGGTGAACTCTTGCAGGTTACAGATACCAGTAGGAGGGAGGACAATTTGAGAAGTTAGAGATTTAACTTCAAGGTGGAAAATCAGCCTGCTTGGGATTTTTAATATAATTAAAAAAATAATAATAATGTTTTTGTGTAAGGCACGATGTGGTCAATGATTTTATTTAGTGGGAAGTGCTTGGGAGAAGGCAGTGTTTGTTATTCAAGTGGAGCATTCATTTGTGTGTTATCTACATCTATATCCTGAAGACACTGTTCTCCTGAGACAAATTGTCCTCAAAACATGCGGCATGAACATCTCCTGCTTATCAAGGCCCAATAGGCGGGACACGCCAGCCATTAGCCAACCTGTGTGTATCATAAAGAACAGATCCATGTCCCTCAGCGATTAGTCTTTGCTTGCACAGGCCTGAAAGAAAGCAGCCAAATTACTCATTGTACTCCAGAACCAAGGGATACACGTGTAGGGCTGAATGGGGAATTGAGCCGACAGCCCCTCTTCTTGTTTACCAGAGCTGTGTACCTAGCTGAAACCGTCCCCCGTTTTGTCTGCTGGCTTTTGATGTTTGCTGACTGAGTTCATCACGTATGCAATACATGCAACCAGTGTACAGCAAAATCCTCTCTTCTGTTTAGTTCCTGGATCATTTGCTGGCTGGCATAGAAGATATATCTGGACACTGGGGACAGTATTACTGGAAAGACAAGTAAGGATTTGCCAAAATACAACTGGGTACATGCATAGAAAAAAATGAGTCTGGTTCCCATTCCGTAAGTTTGCTCTGTGGGCAGCTGAGCCTCGTTCATCCTCGTGGCACAACACAGATGGAAGGGGGCAATTTTCCATCTGCAGCAAGGTGAGAGCAGGCTGTCAGGGCACCAGTGCTGAGCAGAGCAAAGCCTCTCCCCTTGCTTGCAGGTCACACGTTGTTCTTTGCCCTGAAAAGACTCCTGTCGGCCCAGTGCCTGCACACTTAGCAGCACGGGTAGGAGCTTGCAGCACTTGGAGAGGCAGCTGCTTGTTGCAGGCTGACAAATTACAGACCATCTCTGCTGCTTTCTGTAGCAGTTTTCATTGAGTTCTTGTAGATTGTCTGCATAGGAGAAATTGTTATTATTTATAAAAATATGAATAGCTTTAAAATATGCTAATAACAATCTACCTGCTTTAATTCCTGGCTGTGCAGACACACAGATGCAGCAAACTTCATGATACGGGTTCAGATCAAGGCAGCTGACAGGTATTTTCCTGGAAGTGCCAGTGCTTGGAAGTGCCACTAGAGGGTATGGGAAGCGCTGCTGCTGAATGTACTGGCTCCTTGCACATAGGTTTGTGTGCAGCTGACAGCAGCCAGACCATGTTTGATAACAGCTAGGTCTTTTCCAAACCTCATGCTGCATTTGAGCAGAAAGTGAGAGGAAACAGCTCAAGAGGGAATCTGGAAGTGTTTAAAACACTAAGTCCTGCCGTATCCCTTGGGGCTACTGCGTGTACTTATAGCACTTACTAGCCTTCATAATAAATTTGGCACTTTGGGGAGTTCTTACATTATTTGAAGATGTTTTAATATCTTAGCTCATGTACAGAAATAAATAGGGCCTGGCCTCTTGGGCCATCGGTTTCTGGAAAGCAGGTAATGAAATATAATAGAATATGGGGCAATCAGGGACCATGAGCATGCTGGCTTGCTCAGAGGCATAGCAGTTCTGGGGAGTAGGGGGGACGAGGCTAAGAATGTCTTGCTCTGTCCTCAAACAGGCTCGAGTATCTCAACAGCAAATACCTGCAGAAGATCCTGCTTCGAGAGTATGACCAGCCAAAATCCAGTATCGTGCTTCTCTACGAAAAGCTGGAGCGGAAGCATGCCATCGAGCTGGCAGAAGCCGGGCAGCTGGGTCACGCTCCGTCTCACCCGTCCTTGCTGTAAGTGCTCCCTGGCCAGCTGCACAAGTCACAAAGTTTACAGTAAGGCCGTGCCCCTGCTTGGGAAAGCCAGCAGGCAGGATTTATCCTCCTCCTGCCATATGCTGGCTCTCGGGGCAAGAATTGTGACTGAGAATTATCGAGGTTTCTCACAAGAAGAAATCTTATTTATTTATTTTTTTTTCTCATGAGGGCTCTGACAGAGCTGCTGGGCTTTGGGGCTACACCACTGTGCATCTTCTGAAATAAGGTGCTCTGGGTTTCTTTGCAGCAACAGCGACAGGACTGTCATAACAGACAAAAAGTCAGAGGATACCCTGAATCCGGATGTCCTGGAAAATATACAGGAGATATTGGCAAGGAACCTGTACCGAATAAGGAGAACGGTATAACTCTTCCCTCCATCTGTATTTTAGATGTCCAATAACAAAAGTTATCTCAGTTATCCGAACAGCCCGCGCAGATGTTATGAATATTTACATAATTACTAATGATGTGTCTTTGTGAGCAGAGAATAGTTGGCTGTATGAAGCCAGATCCAGTTTCCAAGTCAGTGGCACATTTCTGTTTGCAGCATGACAGCTCTTGAAAGGTTCACCCAGTCAGCCTATAATTTCATGAAGTATTTTAGGCATCAGTACCCAGCACCAAAAGCACGAAAGGAGGAGCATGGGGATCTTCAGGCAGCAGGTTAGCACATCCAGCTGCCTCAACAGCTTCTGGCTCCCTACAGGCTGGGAGTCCCCTGGAGGAGGGGTGTTTAAGGTAGATGTGGCACTTAGGACATGGTTTAGTGGGCAATATTGGTGGTAGGTTGAAATAGATGATCTTAGAGGTCTTTCCAACCTTAATGATTCTATGATTTTATGAAAGATGAACACCCATCCGCTGTTTGCACTTATTCCTGCATGGCCAGCCTCTGCTGGGTGCTGTTTCAGGGCATCCCGTGCTCACAGGCGGTCTCTGGTGTGATGCAGGGCCCGGCGTACAGCAGGCACAGGCTGCCTGGAGAGACAGAGCCCACGGAGCAGGCCAAGGAGATCCTGATCCTGCAGCGCAGGAGCCTGCGGGCAGACACGGTTGGAAGTGATGGGGGCAGCTCCAGGAGGGAGGTAAGAAAGAGTGAGGACACCCGTGGCTGTGGGGCAATGCACGGGATGTTCTCTCCAGTGGGAACAGGGACAGCAGGTATCACAAGCGCTAGACAGAGCGCCCTTTCTTGCTCGAAATATTTCCTTTCAAAGAAAAATCCCGTCTTGAAAAAATACCAAAAAGTTCATCTCAATCCTAAATTCAATTCCTGTGAGTAGGGAAAAAGAAACATGCCAATTCCAGCTCGGAGCACCCATTGTCAGAGGTCCAGATGTTCTGCAAACATTTGAAACTCTTTGGTGTTTTTATTCCCCCCACAACTCTTTTGAAAGGACAGAAGCATTATTGTGAGCTTTTTTATTTATTTTGGAGGTGAGGTTTTTGTTTTTAAAAGCAGCTCTGGGTTCTGGGCAGATTTGAAGAAAGTAAAATAGAAGAAAGCGTGGCATGCTGGATTCCTGGGAGAACCATTTGCAGTCCAAATTCACTGGCACAGCTCCCGGCCAGTTCATGGAGAAACGAGGTAAATGCAATGTCTGTGAGTGGTGAGGGCCGCCCATGGTTTCTCTGCTGGTTTCTCTGGAAATTGGTGGAAGAAACTGGGCAAGGATTTCCCTGTGGAAAGACAGAATGGTCCAGGAATGGCACACAAGGAGTAGACTCAGTCTCTGGCTTGCTCCATCCCTCTGCAACTCTTACTCTGGAGGAAGCACACCTGAGCCCCCTGTAACTTGCCCCCAGCTCCCCAGATCAGCAGCAGTAGCTGCTGAGCCATCCCTAAATTTCACTGACTTCTCTGGGACTCCACCACTAAGGAGAGCAGAATGACCTTTTAAAAAGAGGTACTTTATCTTTCTTTATTTAGATAGTAATGTTCCACGATAGCCCAAGAACTCGGGGCTGCCGCAGGCTTTATTCCATTCTGATTTCTTTGTTCAAATGCCAGTCACTGAGGAGCCCACCGAGAGCTGCGGTACTGCACCAAATGCTGCTGCTTCTCAGCCCTTCATTCACAGAAAGGTGTTCCGGCTCTTGCAAACAACTTAAAAGATTTAATTTGATCATTTACATGCTGATTGGTACTTACAATTCAAAATAGATAGGGAAGAACATGGCATGTTCCTGTAGAACATTTGGTATAATTAAACTTCAAAAGAACAACATCAAACTCGCGCTGATTTTGAGCACGTTTCATTCTTTAAGGACATTTGATTGTTAACCCTTGTGCTCCTGCACTCCTGCCGTCTGCTGCTCCCAGCAGTAACACAGTGCATTTGGTGGGACGTCCAGCACCTTTGGGAAGACTTTGTCCTGTTTCTCTGGATGCTTGGAACTGGCCTTTCACTGGCTGCTCCCCGGGGCAATTTGCAAGTGGATAGAAGCAAGACTGTCCCCCAAAGTTAAGGGAAAATATTTGGAGCCTCAGAATATCAACACGAAGTGGGGAGGTGTGTGAATGCCGCTGCTTCCCACTGCAGGAGAAGAGATTGCCACACCGGATTTTGCCAGCAGGACGAAGGAACGCACTATGATAACAAGTAAATTTTAGCCCATTAAAAGCAGCTAAGTATTTTACATTTTATATTGGAAAAAAATGAAGCCACTCAGATTTAGTGTTTCATGCCAAGCTGATGACCAAGTGGCACTTCCCTGTTTAAAATAGCTGTGAGTGCAAAATCTAGGTGCTTAGTGTTTGAGAGGCTCTGTCTCATGCTCCATCTTTTGTAATCCCAGAGGGAAGGGTTTGGCCTTACAGGCTTTGAGTCAGCAAGAAAAAATACCCACCCTCACGCCACGCGTTTTTCTGTTCTGCATTTGACCACAAGATGGGAGCATTACAACTGTGTTTGCAAACCGACCTGGAAATCAGGAACCGAACTCCAAGCAAAGGATCACTGCAAGCCTCCGGTGCTGGTGAAACGTGGGAGCCGTCTTTCCTTCCCTGCCTACACGAAATAAAAAGCTTTTGCGATGTGTTCAGTCAGTTACATGTCACGAGCAGAGTGAATAATTAAAAAATGCCTTTGGCTCAATAGAGGCACTGCTTTTCCTGCTCGGTGGCTGTCAGCATGTTGGGCTTTTCCTCTTTTAGTGGAGTTGATTGGTCTTTTGCTATTAAATTATGAAGCTGTTGTAACTCAATTAGATTAATCTCATAGTTTATTAGATCCTGGTTTGTCTTCCTCCTGTACCAGTCATCAAAAAATAAGGTGTGTATGGAAGTGAATCCTTTCATAGGCCTGTGGCTCTGCCAGACCGTGGAGGAACCAGAGGAGAGGAGACATCCATCCTGTCTCATGCCCAGTTTTGGGGGGCTCACCAGCATCGGTGCTGGCTGCAGCCAGCTCAAATCCCCTCTGTTTGTAGCCTGGGTGGCTGCTGTGCTGTAGGCATCTGCCTTGTGGTTCCACAGGCGTGCGGGGTGGCCCTGGGCTGTGTTAGGAACCCCTGCCCAGGAGGGTTTGCTCAGGGAATAATAGGTTAGGCAGGGAAAAGAAAGCAGAAACACACAGCCTGTATCCCTCCTGGGCCACGGGCGCAGATCAGATGCTTTACACCAGGCACAAAAATGTTGGCAAGGCTAAGAGGTGACTTCAGATCTGAATCGCAGCCCAGAGGATTAACTCCAAGACTATCTATTTCCAGCAGAAAGTTCGCTTTCCTCCGCCTAAGGACAAAATTCCTCCTGAAGGCTACTGCTTCCTGTGGCTGTGCATCATGTTGGCTCTAAACGCTGTGTGTATTTTGGGCTTGCCTTGTTTTAGGCAAGGATCCAACACAAAGTACCCTGGCACTGTGGTTTCTGAGACCCAGGATAGCTTTTATTTACCACGGAGGACCCAGAAAATCCTTGCACCTGTAGCCAGGCAACTTCGCTCTCTTTTCTTCTGCCAAAACGCAAGTGCACTCCCCCAGAAAGAGCTTATTTGGAGCTGCCCGTGAGCCGTGTGCGTAAATGACATACTGCCTTTGGTAATTATGTCGGAGCCCTTTCATGGAGCATGCTCTGAGAAGCATTAAATGCCCCTGGGAATGGCTTTCCAGGGAGCCAGGCTGCTGCTGCGGAGCCTGGGAGGCATTGTTATTAAAATGGTCAATAAAACTGCACACAATGGATGGAGGGCATCGGGTCCCTCGTTAAGGGAGGGAGGAAAGCGAAAGGAAACAAAACAGAAAATCAGGTTGGGAGGTGTCCAGAGTTATTTGGCAGTCTGGCTTTCTGGACCTGGGTGCCAAATCACAGCTGCGTAAGAGACTTACTCCCTGTTTAGAGGAGGGTTGAATTTGGGCAGCATTGTGCTACCTGATTTTTTTTCTGAAGGGTGGGGATTGGCAAGCTCGCTACCTGCCTCCTGGCTCTGCAGCCAGGGTGGGAAATGTCCCTGGTTGGCCATGGGCAGGGACATTTCCCTGTCCTTGCCTGCAGCCCCCTTGCCCCAGGTCGGCTTTTTTCCGCTGGCACCTGCTGCATTGTGCTCCTGGAGAGCTCAGGCCTCTCCCACCAACCTGAACCACATCAGGCGTCTGTAAATATTTCCCCTCAGCGATGCCTGCCATGTATTCGGTCTATTTTTAGAAATAGTTCTTTTTGTTTTTCTTGGCAAAAGGAAAACAAATGGAAACGGAGTCCTTGGGGATTGCAAATGGCTTGTTTATGAAGCATGAGTGTCATTAACAGACTTGCTAGCAATCTTCATAAATGCATTAAAGTACTTTTCTTCCTTAATCACAGAAGGAGGACTCCTCCCCGGCGCAGGGCAGCCCCGACGTGCAGCCCAGGCTGTGCCGCTCCCTCACCGGTAAGCTGGGGGGGCCTGGAGGGCACCAAGTCCCCCTCCAGACCACAGGGGGACATTCAATAAGGTGGTGGGGAGGATGTTCAGGGGGTCTGCTCCATGTTGCCTGCATGGCTGGGATTTGTGAGGCAGCCCTTCCAGCCCTGGTGCCCCGTCCCAGCCCTCCAGGCGGGCACGTAGTGTGCTGTGGAGCCCAGGAGAGGAGCAGATACTGGGGGCAGCCCACCTCACCCCACTGCTGGTGTGTGGAGCAGAGGGGATGCATCGCGTGCTGGGATGCGCTGCTGGCAGCAAAGGGGCTCCGGGCAGCGATGCTGGCAATGATAGCAGTGGGATGTGAATCCCTGTCCAGGTGTTTGGCCTCCTTGCTACTTGTGTGCTGCAAGGGGTGGCTTCGATTTGCACGGAGATGTCCATGCATGTCCAGCCAGGCATGCATTTGACGCCGGTACCTTTCTTTGTATCCCACCAAGCACCAAGATATTTGACAGTAACTGCAGATCATTTTACCTGTGGTGAAGCTAATTGTATAAACTAAAACCTTATAGAAGTGAATGGTATTCTGAAACATGAAGTTTGTGCAGAAATGCCTTCCAAAAATTAAGATTTTTTTGTTTGGTTGTTTTTTGACTGTTATTGAAGTGCACCATTACCAGCACTGCTTGTTTTGAGTATCTGTTACAGTGGCTTAAAACCTCAGGTGTTTTCATAAGAACAAGCTCAGTTTTTAGATGATTGAAAGCTTAGTTTTCACACTTAAAAAAAAAAAAAAATTAATACCAGTGAAGCCTCACACAAAGTTTAGCTTGTCAAAACTCTAAAATGCATCTTTCAAAATGCAGAGGATGGTTTCGTTTTAGCTTGGAACTGCAAAGAGTTGTTCAGCCTCCAGCCATACCGGAGATGCAGCACGTAGGAAACCGAGCACTGAGTTTTTACAGTACAGTGGCAAATGCCTTTTAGCACAATTGCATCTGTAAAAGTGATGATTGAAAAGGTTCAGTGTTGATCCTGCAAGTAATATTGCCTCCAATACAGGCTGAGTTGGATTAAGAGGCTGGATCTAGCATTAGCATCCAGAGAATTTCTTTATTATGTGTATTCTGGAAAAATATTTAAGTGAGAAAGTATTTTTGTTTCCTTTCACTATTTTTGTGTCCTTCCAAATCTGACGTTTTCTTTCTTTGCAGTTTTCTTTTAAAAATTAATAAAAAAACTTACTAAGAAGAGAGCTGCAGAATAGCTGGCATTTTATCTGTAGAAAGGCATCTTATAAGAGCAGGTAAAAGGGATTCTGTGTGTTCATAGATTGGACGTCTGCTGTGGATGTAGCTATTTTAATCCACATTTTATTATAAATGTTTAAACTGTGTTGTTCCTGAAGAAGAACATGAGTGTAGCCAGTGCAAAGTGACAGAAAGCAGCATTTCTGGGTTTTCCTTTCCTTTTTTTTTTTTTTTAAATGTTCTCTCTCATTAAGGCTGTGCTGCAGGGAAGATGTGAGCACAGCAGCCCCCTCCATACCTGGGCACTGGGTGAAGGGGCTGCAGCTCCTCTGTCATGACTGTGTGCACCCAGGTAGTTTTTCCTGTGGCCTCCTGGAGTTGCAGGTGCTCCGCCAGGACACCTGGGTGGTGCCACGGCTTCTCGAGAAGCTGCTTTAAGGTAGTCACTGAGGTGACTTGTTGTTCTGCAAAGTGGCTGGTGGGCACTGACAAAAGAATGGTTATATTGAACCAGACACATAACACATTTCAAAGTACAAAACGGGGCTGAAATCGCCTTTTTATTTTATTTTTTTCCATCCAGGCACTGATCTTTGTCTTCTGCTTTAAAATTGAAAAGTGATCTTTGCAGTGGAATAGCTCATCCCCAATGAGCCAGTGGTCATCTCAATAGCTCTTGCTATTGCTTCATTACTGCTGACCCACAAAGGAGAACATCTCTCATACCAGCCTGTGTTTTTCTCTTCTCGCAGTTGGGAATGCAGAAAAGGTTCAGGCCGTGAAGCAGAACCGATCGCAGTCCGTGTGTGTCATCCCACCGCCGCAGCCTGGTGGCACCGCCTGGGGTGAGAAGGAAGAAGCAGAGAAAGAGCTAACTTTGGATATGTAAAAGCACAAGTGGTGCTGCTGGCTTCCCAGCATGGAAGGCTGTTTCATGGATGTCTACAATACAATCTGCTTTTTTATTTTTTTTCCTGTAATGGAGGCCAGCAACATGATGGTAATGTAAATAAGATGCATATTGAAAAGGACAGCACGGAGTGGGCAAAAAAATCCTGAGTGATCGACATCAAAATGTGCTCTCATTGCACAGCACTGTACTTTTAAAGGGAACCAAGAAAAAGGGAAAAGATGCACAGACAAGCACCAGCAATGCAAGGTAATGCCTGAGAGGGGAGCTAAGAAAAATTAGTTTGCTCATTCTGGGAAAATTGCTGAAACTGCCTGCAAGTACAAGAAAAGATGTTTTAATAAGATGAGATATTGGGTCTTCTCATTAGTCAGCAGGGATAGAATAAACAGCAAGGAGCATTTAGATTATATGTTAAGAGAAACTTTATAATTTCAAGGAGAGTTTTATTAGGCAACGGAGCATGCTACCAGGAAAGGCAGCAGAAACACCAAAAGTCCTCTCCCGCATCTAAGGAACTGGTGGGTCCTGAATATGAACATTAACCCTGTGAATTCCGGGGTTAAATCGTGTTGTTGAATCAGGTGGTGTGTCTGATCCCGTGTCAGGATTTCTGCTGCCACTACTGAGACTGCAGCTTTGGAGGAGGTTTGAGGCAGTCTCCTCACTATTAAATAGAGAGGGGGCCCCCAGCCCCTCTGCTGTCAGGAAAGCCACAGTCCCATTTTGCAAGAGGTGAACTGCAAGGACAGCACCTGCGGATGAGACGCTCCATGCCTGGATAATTTTGTCTGAAACTCCAGGTAAGTGTTCAAGCCTCTGAATTCTTGTCCTTAGCTGAACCCCAAGGGCTCAGTTCCAGTACTGCAAGCGTTGGCAGTTTTCTTTCTCTTCCCCTTCCTCTGCATTGAAGAATTCAAGAGCATCTAATTGGAACAAGTGGCCAAAGAGACTCTTTCTGAATTAAAAATAAAAGAAGTTATAGGAATTCGTGTACTTTCCTCCTTGATATCCTTGGACTTTAGGAGCCAATCTCCTGTGTGCAGAAATACTCCATTAGGAGATCGCTGCCCGGTACGCTGCAGCTTTCATTTTAAATTAAAGACACAAAATTGTGTGTGTTTGCTTTACAAAGGCATGTGGGTCTCGATTATCATTTGGACAAGCTCCTTTACAATGTCCTGGAATAAGCTGATACACTTCAGTTTTACGTGAAGGCCACTCCTCGCTGCCCCAACACTGAAAATCAGACCTTGTAGCCTTATACTATTTTGTGCATGCAGGTGCATGTGTGTGCATATTTACTGATTTTAGTATAATTCTACTGACAACCTCAATGGTAGTTTTGGTTTGGTTTGTAGTTCAATCCATATTTTTATAGGAGTCATGCCTTTGTCTACGCTTAAGTTAGAAACTAATCCACACCATCCTTCAGCATGACGCAAATACAACATGTACTGCATTTCTATCTCAATTAAATACCTTGTGTTACGAGATCATCTCAGAGTCGTTACCTCCTTGTGTCCAACCCCCCGAGGTCAGCAGTAGCTGGTGCCACTGGTGGGGTCTCTGAGGCTCCGTCTGTCATCGGTCCAAGGGATGCAGCATACCTGGCAGGCCCCCTTTGAACAGCGAACTGCTCAGCCCTGCCCTGTGCCACCTGTGTGAAGTGACCGCAGGACAACCAGCAAGAGTAAGGAAAAAATGGCCTGGTTATTGGCATAAGAAATTGCCTGCAAGGGAGAGGAACAAAATACTGAACTCGAAGGTCCTTTTTTGTCTGTAGCTATAGAGCAAAACTGAAAAGAAACCAAGTGTCGATCCAAAGAGTTTTTAATCAAGTTTTTTTAATCAAAGGTAGAAACTTTGTGAATCTCTTGTCCAATTTTTATTTTTTGGCTTTTAAGCTGTCTGTCTTTTCTCCAAAATAGCTGGACAAATGTCCATACCATCTTTGTCTTGTACAGCATCCATCGTACTTCCAGGCATTGGGCACTTAATGATCTCTTTTCATTTGAGCTTCCCATCATATCAAACGAGTTCACTGCAACTCTGTTATGGGTTTCCAGGGCTCTTATCCAACGGTAGCTGCTTTGGCAGGTGTAGATTTCTTTGTAATACTGTAGTAGGCAACAGAAAAGGTTGGAAAAGCAGAACTCTTCCAGAAAATGGGCTCTTTGCAGCACTGAAATTCTATAATGTGGAGAAAAAAAAATAGTCTTCATCATTTTGTTTCCCCCAAAGATGTGAATGTCTTGTCTCATTCAGATGAACCAAAGATGCCTGTTTCTGCTGGCGTGTTGGCCAAACATTCCCCAAGCAGCTGAAACACACTGCACCCATGGAAGGAGGCTGAGGACCAACCATCCCCATCACATCCCAGTCAGATGCCCCCTGGCCCTAAAACCTTTCCATCTCCTGAGCTCTGTGCCTGGGGGCAGAGCAGAGTTCAGGGACTTCTCCTGCCATGGTCCTGGCTCCAGCCAGCCCCGCGTGCCTTCACACGTGCACTGGCCTGATCCTGCTCAGATCCCAGCCCTTTAATCCCTTTCAACCCTGCTTTGTGGTGCTGGGACCGTAAATACCTCTCTGCTGTATTAACAATTTGCTTGATCTGCAGAGAAGACAATATTCTGTGCAGCACATACTTTCCCAATGAGTCACTATGCCCCACATTTAACCTCCTAGATGCTATGATATTTTTTTTTAAGTTTCTTTACAAAATATAATAGCACAGCTAAAGCTTTCATGAAGCTTTTCCAGCTGCTTAGTGGCCAAGCCCTCTGACTAGTATGTATTTCAGCCTAGAATACATTTGATAATCTGTGCCAGTATCCAGTGTTGGTGGTCTTAAAATTCTACAACTGACTGGAAAACTGTTAAATGCTCGGGCTTCGGAGCATGCCTAATTAATTCTTTGCAGGGTTTTATTCCTTTAAAAAGTGTTTAAAACATGGATTCGCTGTATCATTGAATATTGCATGCTTCCGTGGAAATAAATTGCATCAGTTTGATTCCTTTAGTGGTTCAGAGAGTTAGGGCTCTGCGCTTACTTTGGAAGTTTGCAGGAGCCTTTTGAAAGTTAAGGTTAAAACAGACAAAAGTTGCTGAAGATGCAGAGTAGCTCAATGGCAAAGTGAGAGCTGAAACTGGCATTAGGAAGGTCTGGGCACAGAGATCAAGGAGCCACATCCAGAAATCAGGCTGTAGATTTGCTTTGCACTCACAACTCCAGGAGGAATTTGTGCTTTCTTTTTTTTTAAATTTTTGACTTGGCTCAGAAAATCACACCTGTGTTTATTTTATTTCACGACTGCTTAAGGTGATTATAATGGCTTAATCCTGGAGAGTGCTGGTGCTTCTCGGGAAGCAGGTGAGACAAGCTGAGCTTTTTCCTCTCCTGCCATCAAGCACCACGGTATCCAGCCTCTCCAGCAACACTATGGATCTTTCAACGTCCAGGCTTACGTGCTTCTTCCAAGAGAAATGTAGATGGGAGAGCTGAAAAAGAAGCATGAGGTGGAGGCAAACCACTGCTTATAATCTCAGTGCAGGATTAAAGGGGCCAACGTAAGCCTCTATTCCTCCCCCTTTCCTCACAGCTCATACCAGGGGCTGCTCTTAGCATGACCAGTCCCGTTAATTCTCCAGGTGCCTGCTGGTGTGTGGTGCCTCGGGGAGTAGCTGGATGTTGATGCTCCTGCTCCTCTGATGTTTGAGGAGATGCACCCTTTTCCCTGGAGCAGGTAATGGTGGCTGGCTCGCACACGTGGTGATGCTTGGTTAGCCCATTTCCATGGCTTTTGGTGCAGCACTTCTCCTCCAGAGACCCCAGGGCAAGCTAGGAAGGCTGGCCAGCATCGCTGCGGTTTTCCCAGCCATGCAAAGCGTGGCCAGACTTTCATTTATTTTCCTCTGATTTGGTTTTAAAATTGATTTCAAACTGGTTTGGTTTTAAAACTCACATTTTTTCTGATTAGTTCATCAGAAAATCCTGGCCCTTTCTAACTGCAGAGGAAAGGAGGGGGGCTGGAATGATTTATGGGTGGTTTTCTTGCCATTTCTTCTTTCTTTTCTCCCTTTCTCTTTCCTCGTGTACGTGTGTCCAGTCTATTAACGAGGCTGTCTTTTGCATTGTATACAATCTATATGAACAAAATGCTTCTACAAAAGGAAACCAAAAAAGCTAATTTAACCTTCAAAACCAGAATAGGCCTGAATCTTATAATTAATAAAGATGCTTTTTTTTTTTTTTTTTTTTTTTTTCTGAAGAGTGAAGGCACCATTTTTTCTATTAGTCTAGTTTGTAAGACTAAAAAGTCTTGTGAAAAAGCATTCCTATTATAAGAATTTCAATTTTATCTTCTTTGTTCCTGCTCACTAGCTATAGGAAATGTCTTTATATTAAAGAGAAACTACTACAGACATGCAAATGGGTGGTCATTGCACAGTGTCTCCTTCTTCAGTCGCCCCTGCAGGGGTGAGGAGCCAGCAGCTCCTGGGCTGGTTGGGCACAATGGGGTTGATGTCTAACAAAAAATAAAAATCGAGCTGAGCAGAAAGCAATGCTGTGAGAACAAAGCCCCCTTGGCACTGCACAGCACACAGGAATACAGGCAGGGGGCTGCATTAGGGGTCTGCGACCAGTCCGGGTGTCCCCATCGCATGCTCTGGAGCAGCTGCTCCATCCCTGTGCTCGTACCCTGGCTGTACCTGCCCAGTGCCCCAGGCAGGGTTTTGTTGTCCACCACATCCAGGAGTTTTTCAGATCCCAGAGGTGAGGAGCACGTGCGTGGGGGGGAGCTGAGCAGGACGGGGAGCTCGCTGGAGGGGCGTTCTGACCTTGCAAACTCAGTTCCTATTCCACAGCCTAAAAATTTGGGAAATGTTTGGCTGGGCACAAAACGGCCCAGAAGGAGCCAAGGCTGGGCAGCAGCAACGCTCTGCCTCAGCCATGCAAGGTTTTGCTGCCAATGGGACTGAGAATTGCTAAGGACACCTTCCAAATGGCAAACAGCGCTAACTTGCAAATAGGCATTAGCATAAATGCAGCACTGCCAAATACAGCTGACTAAAAAACACACACATAAATGTAGAAGTGTGCATTAATCCCTTTTTTTAAATGCACAAGTGCCCACTTTGCATTTTAATTTTATGAGATTGCACTGCAAAATGCAAAGAAGTCCTCACTTCTGGTGTGCAAACCTTGCCTGCACCGAGCTCTCCAGGTGTTGCCAGAGCTTCCCCACCGGTCACGTCCAGCCTTGAGCTACAGACCTCAAGGATAGACGGCAATAAATTCAACCATAAAAAATAATAGTTTGCTTGAAAAAAAAAAAAAAAAGCTTAAGAAGGGCCAAGACATGCCATACAGTTTCACATCCCTGAAGATGGCCCTTGAACTGCAGTTCTCCCATCCATTTGAAGGCCACGCAATGACCCCTTTCCCTGCTGAGAACAGCATTCAGCCCTGCCGTGGGGATTTTTCCATTTCCAAAAAGCATTTTTCCATTTTAACGACCAACCAAGACATAAATCCAGTCCGTGAGAGGGCCTGCAGGTTGTCTCAGACCTGCTCACCCACCGTCTGCCCCACCGTGCCCAGCTGCAGCACCTTCTGCTTGTCTTGCACATCTGCCCTGGTAAGCCCATACCTGCCCCTCCTTTTCATTCTTTGGTTGTCTTCTGGGCAGGCACCTCTTTTCTGGAGTCTATCGGCTGCCTTGTGTGCTCTCATGGTGAGGTTAAACAAAGAATGGCTCTTCCACTGGGACTGAGAGGAAGAGAGACCTGTGGCATTATTTAAGACTGGCCCAACCTGCAATATTTAAGAAAGAACAATGCAAAGGATGCAATCAATTATTACAGTTTAAAGTCTATTGTGCTCATTGAAGAGCGAGCATATTCAGCAGTCCATATGCACCAGCAGTTGGCTAGAAGTGTAGTCAACATTTTATCCAACTCTCTCCAGTCTCCCTAAGCGGTGGGCAGTTTCTCTGCTATACCCATATGTGCGCAGCTAACTTTAACTATTGCATTGATTTGGAAATTAATTTGGCAATGCAAAATCTGTTAGGTCGAGGAAGTCAACGTCTTTATTTATTCTCCTTTTAGACCAGGTCACGACTTAGGCTAAGGTTAGAAAATCAGAACCCAAATTTTCAGCGTAATTTAGATTTCCTCCGCCAGACTCCTGGCATGCCACACGAATATAGTTATTGCCCTCCAGAAATTACAATTTTCCTGGTCTGGCATCCTGTTCCTGGCAGTGATCTACAGCAGATGCTCCAGCAGAAGACAAAAACGTTAGGGACCAAATGGCAATGAAATCCCGTGCAGGATTGTCCTCGTTCCCCGTGAGACACTGCTTCCAGAGCGGGGCTGGGCGGAGGGAGGGGAACAAACACCACACAATGTCCATATCCCGTGGCAGGAGAGAGATCCCCGTGCTCCAAACGTGTAGCAAGGCTCTTCAGCTATGCTGGCAGCTACACGTGAGCTAAATGCTCCGTGTCTAGCTGGATGCGGACCTGTCTGATGTAACTGTGTGTGCAGGGGAGGATTGCACCACTCCCCAGAGCACCAAGAGGGGCACCAATATTTTAATGCCCTCGCTTTTAACCCTGGGGTTATTTTGTGCGAAAGCAGCATCAGCTTTTAGTTCAGAGGCAGGAGAGCACTTGGGTTCTGCGCTCTGGGGACACCCCTGAAGACACCTCGTGGTGAGGGCTGTGGGAACAGAGGAATGATAAAAATCTGCGGGCTCAGATCTGCTGCAGCAGCGCACGGCCTCCCTGCTAAGTTCATGCACAAGCCGGGCTGAAGCTCTCCAGTTTCCTGGGTACTTCTGCATAACAAGTGCTCGTGACCTCTGGACGCTGCCTACCGTGTTGAAATGAACAGCCATGTGTTTATTTGGAAATCTTCCTGCTCTGCCTCAATAGCTATTTGTCATGTTTCTTTAATGCCACAGCTGTTTGGCTACGCCAGGTCATCTGCTTTTATTAGCCCCTTTCCCACCACCCCCTGAAACTCACACCGGCCACCAGAAGATCCGTATCTGTGTCCCAGAATAGCACGTCTCTCCGTCCTCTTCTTTCAGGGAACGGGAAACTGCAGCATTTCCTTTTTTTCCCCCAAATTCCGCTCCGCCATGAAGGCTGGCATCGCGGGGCTGGCCGCGGGCATCCTGGGCGGCACTGGCGTGCTGCTCTTCCTCGTGGCCTTCGGGACGGATTACTGGCTGCTGGCTTCGGACACCTGCGGGATGGTCCCCGATGGAAACAGCACGCTCCAGCCCGGCGAGGTAAAGCCTGAAACCGTGTCTTACTGGGGAGGAGAAAAACTGACTCATTTAAATAATATGCTCTGAAAATGTTGAAAGGCGACAGAGCTACTTTCAATTCAGGCGCTGGCAGTTTTAGATGTGATAATATTTATGCTTATTTAAAGTGACCTGTTCATGTAAAAAGTCAGCCTGAGCTAACTTTAAAATTGTGACTGAAGTAAAAATGTCTAGAAAACATTAAAACGGCGCTTCTGTACTCTGACAGATACGGATGTTAGGGAATGAAAGGCGAAAATGTAAGAGCTTTACTTGTTGACAGCATTTGCCTCAAAAGACAAAAGATTTCTCCTGATATTTGCCATTGAAAGATTTCTACCCCTAGTTTGCTCATTTAAAACCAGTACATATTTTAAAGTGTAGAACTTGGCAATCATTTACATCTGAAGTGATACGACTGCTGCACAGACAGAAAACAACAGCGAGCATCAGGGGCAGCGCAGAGCAGACACGGATTCCTGCCCATCTAACACGAAGAGGCCTCTTTAGTGTAAAATTAAGATTTGTATAGGACTTTTGTTAGCAGGAAATGCAGTTTTTAGATGACAATGTTGAATGTTTCCTTTTTTTTTATGACAGGTGTTTTAGTGCTAAGTGCTGTTATCGTATGTTCATGGATCCTTTTGAATGTGGGATTTTAGCCGCACTTGCTATTGTCTGACTGCTCGAGGAAGTAACAGCCAGCCCAGTTCCCTCAGCCATCCACTCTTCAAAAATATTTTTGTGCTGATCAATGCGTAGCTTCAATTAAAAAATGACAGGAAGGTCCTTGTTTTGTGCAGCCTTTTTGTTACTTCAAAGTTCAATCCAATTAGGTTTGATTTTTTTTCTGGTGTGGTGAGTCACGCTGGGTAAACATCATGATGCCAGCAAGAAATACTTCCTTTCATTTCACAATCCCGTAATCAAACGTAGGACACTGTTTGCTTGAGTCATGTTTCCAAATGACTTTCTCTAGTGAAAAAAAAAATATCTGATAGAAGAAACTTCCAGCAGAAGATGCTGTCTTCTTTGTTTTAAGCAGCGTGATAGAGTCCCAAAGAAGACAGGGCCACGGCTGAAGGGGCCGAAGGAGTGCAGCTCTGGTTTTGCATGCTTGGGAAAAGGCAACGTTAAATGTTTCGGATTTTTGTTCGTACTGCAGAGAGGCCAGGGATGGCACTGTGCACTGCCCAACCATCCCAGACCTGTGAGTTACGCTCTGGCCACATGTTAGTTTGTCTGTCACTGAGGCTGGGTGACTGCAGAAGTGCCTGGAAGACATAGGCACTGCTCTTTTCTTTCCTCTGAGCTAGTTGATTTCTATTTCAGACTGTTTTCATGATCTCTAGTTCAGGTACCAGTTTGTGTAAATGGGCTGTGTTTTTACCTTACCTGCCCTTTCCCAAACTGGCAACGTGTTCCCTGACCCCTCAAAACCAACTCAAACAACAGCGAACCAAAGCCCCACCAAACAATGGAAGCAAACCATCCAGCTAAACACACACTTTCCCCCTTTGCTGTCATCATCCCCACATCACCTCAGGCTTTCGTTCCCTACAGGCTGAAATGCTGACCGAGGCCGGGAAGGAGATCCTCACTTTCCACCACGAGGGCTTCTTCTGGCGGTGCTGGTTCTTCGGCGAGGGCCAGCCGGAGACCATCTGGACCTTCTGGTACAGTGAGTACCCGCGGCCTGCCCCAGCGCCACTGCTCCGTGTTTGGTTTCATTCTTCATTCTCATCCCCTCTCTGTCAGGAGCTAACTTGGGTCACTTTTTCTGGGTTCTTTTATTGACTTGGATTTTGCTGTTGGAGGGCTGTTTGCAGTCATTTAGGAACCCCTTGGTGCCAAGTTTCAGATGACTTTGCTGTCCCTCAGCCCCTGATCTCCGAATCCTGTAAAATCTTGTAGGAAGAGTTACTGCCACTGTTCACCAGAACAACGCGGGATTTTTCTCACAGAAATTTTTTGATATGGAAAAAAAAAAAAGCTGGTGAGAGGGAGTTTGCTATCTAATTACATTATACAGAAATACGTTATATAATATAATGTTACCTGCAGTAAAATGACTCTTCCTGATAACTGGCAAATTTGTATTACTTCTTTAGGTATTTATTATAATAGGATTGATCATGGCAAATTAATTTGCTGCTCTCGTGGATGTAATAATTAATTCAATAGGTATTCCATAGTCAATTTAGCATGAACTAATGTCCACCTATTATAAAGTGTTCCTTTGAGCTGGGGAACATATTTAAATAAGTGGCCAACCATTAATTAATTCATTTAACATTCATTCTATTACTGTTAATCACGATAAGCCTCAGTGGTATTAATATTGATGGGGCACGTCCGTTCTAATTGTGCTTTCCTCTCTCACCAACTGGAGGTCTTGTAAGGGGGCTTGCTCTAGCACCCAAACCTCTTCGCCCCTTCCAGAAGAGAAATAGCAAGAGGAATATTGACATTAATTTGAGTTGCTCCATCTTTTGTGATTTATGTCCACCTCAGACTGATGTTATGAAGATATGATGTCGTGGGGGCGGCAGTCTCAGATCCTGTTACATCTCCCCTCTCTCATCACTCTTCTGTTTTCTTCTGTCTAGCCACAATTTTGCATCTTTCTTTACTCCCCAGCCTTCTTGCGTGTTATGCGTGTTTTCCAGAACAGGGCATTGCCGTCCAAATTATGGCATATGGTATAACTATGATTTTGCATAAAATCAAACCTTTTCTTGTTCTCTTGCAGCCAGCCAAGCACACCCCAAGCACTGCATGCACGGCTACCTGTTCCCAATGCCCGTCACTCTGGGACCTTTTCCCCATCCCTCCTACGACACGACGGCAGGTGGGTTCCCCCCTGCTCCCAGCAGCTCCTTGTCCCAGCAGCGGGGTCGGGAAGGACGGTGTGTGGGGTGTGCCGTAATGCTGTCCCCTCCTGCAGAGCTGCGGGTCCGAGCACAGCCAGGATTTTTGGGCAGCTCCTGACAAAGTGGCCTCGTGTGGCCCCGAGGCGTTCCCAGGGCCTGGCTCCCCAGGGGAGCTCCCGTGTTGATTCATTGCAAGACAAAATAAACAAACGCTGGAAAAATCAGTTAAAGACCAAATTGTCAAAAGATCCACGCAAGTGGCTGGCTTATTTTTAATACACCGAATACGACACAGTTGGAGAGCTCTCCTTTCAACTGGTTCCCTTTTTATTTATGTTTCTCTGTATTTTCAGAGTTCTTTAATGAATCAGCTGCTGTTAGGAATTTTAATTTGCTAAATTGGTGGCAGCAGCTAGAATTAATTCCATGATCTTTTTTGAAATGAATTGATTTCTTTAAATAGTGTGCATCACTCTGCGTTGCCTCTGGGGATCCGGGGCAGGCATACTGCACAAACAAACATCTTGACCTTTTCCTTAGCCTTTAGCAGTACCTTTTTAATTTTTTTATTTATTTTTTTTTTTACGAGGAATTAATTAAAAAAAAAAATATTTGTCAGTAGGAGCATGTGAAGGAGAGCAGCTAGTTTCTTTTGCTGTGCTGTGTCGGATCCCTGCCTCGGGGCACAAGCCACGATGTAGAACGGATGCGAGCGGTGGTGAAAGGAGTAGCCCGGTGCAGGCTGTGTATGGCAAGCACGCAGGTTATCGCTGGCTTATTTTTTCTGCTTAGGAGAGAGTGGTATGACGTCCAGCTTCTGAATGATCTCAATGATAAACACACTGATTTTTCCATACTAAATAAAGGGCCATTGAGCCATCTGTCGCTGCCTGTCAGCCTGCACTCGGCAGCCCTCTGCAGCTGCCTCCCAAAATGCCTTTTGGGGACGGCCCTGGGATGGGCTCAGTGCCGAGGCTGCTGTGGCCCCGCTGCCGAATTGGCCTCAGTGCTGTCATCCCTGGGGAGGCGGGGATGTGTCGGCGCTGAGATGGGGATATCGTGACATAGAGATGGGGATGTCTCAGCACAAAATGAGGATATCGCGACACAGAGATGGGGATGTCTCAGTACCCATGTTTAGGACAGCTGGAGCTGCACCAACCCCACTGCAAAGCATCTGGAAATCTGAGGGGAGCAGGCACTTCTGCCGTGCACATTTTATTTTATTTCCAACCAGTCTGCACTCAGATGCAAATTATGACAAAACAGGAGGCCGTCCAAGAAGAGGGTCCTCCAGCTATTACCTGCTCCAGAGATAATTTTGCCTTATCTGCATCCTCTTAGGCTCCCTGAGAGAAACGGGTGACGGGAGGTTAAACATTAAAATGAATTCTGTGGTTTTGGAGAGTTCAAGATACTTATCTCTCCCTAAGTGGCTCTCCTGACAAAATGGTTTAAAATGAGCAAAACGCATCTTCTCTGTATCATTTTTCTTTCAAGTGTGAGTCATTTCAGCATTGCCCATTTGTTCACACTCAGCTCAAATCTCTCTAACTCATACTTCTGAGAAACAAAAAGCAGTGAGAGGCAGTGGTCTGAGAGGACCAGATAAATTGGGGGAATTGGAAGTGGGTATTGGAGAGCTTCTGCCAGAGGACCCCCACCTTTGGCTGCTCACTTGTCCCATCCAAAGTGACAGGGACATGATGGATGCGAATTTGCTTGCCTCTGGCTGGCGTGGCTGTGTGAAGTCACAGCAAAAATCCCCAAATCCCGAGGACAAAAAGGCAGTTGCTCTCTTGCCCTGTTCTCTGGCTTGGAGTCAAGGAAGGCCACAGTGGGAAAATGACAAAGCTCCTGTTTTCACTGCAGTCCTGCTCTGCAGTCAACAACAATTGACTGTATTTTAAACCAGGGTCCCGGCACCTTATGTAAGTGCAAGTTAAAACAGCACATAGATATAATCCGATTCCATCTCTTCAAATTTTGCTATTTCCTTTCCTTTGTTGTCCAGCCCGTCCATCCCCACGGGTACATCTAAGGACTGTGTCCTATGCTCTCACAAGCTCTATGACACAGTTTCCTTGCAACCCTTTTCCCCCTTCTCCTCTGACTCTCCTCTTTTTGGCTGCACAGTGTACAGAGGCTTCTGGACAGCGTTCATCATGCTGGCTGTGGCTGGCGGCCTGGTGGGAGGCCTGCTGCTGGTGTGTGGTGTTCCCTTCGTCAGCGCCAGGTCCTACAAAGTCGGCGGTGGGTTCCTGCTGGCCTCGGGTAAGCTCTCAAGCAGCAGGAATTGGATACACGGGGCAGGAATGCAGCGGCCGTGGCCCACAGTGTGCAAGGGGATGGGGAGGCACCCAGGGGTGGGGTGGTGCTGGGGAGGGATGGGGGCTCTGATGGAAGCAGCCGTGACTTGGAATAAATGATCCCCACCTTCCTCATGTGGAAATAAACGTCTGTTCTTAGCCAAGCATTACAAAGAAGGTCCTTAGTCCTAAGGAGTCTGGGAACTGGGCAACATAGTTTTTTTCTTCTTTGGCCTTCTGTGCAATCCAGAGAGCCTTTTGTTTTAGTAAAGCCTGGAGCTGCACCAACCCTGGGCACTGATTAGCCCTGCTCTGCTCCTGTCAGCCTTTCTTCATATAGTGTGAGTGGCTCCTGTCTTTGCTCTACGTCTGGTACAACTGGAAAGCCACCACGCAGGGACAGGCATCCCCCACACCACAAAACTGGAGGGCTTGCTTTAATAAAATCTGAAAAGATAAAGCAGTGTCACAGCAGAAAAATGAATTAAAAAGAGTAATTTATTCATTATTCCCATTATTAATTATTCCACTGAATTATCACTTGGGTTTTTTTCTTTTTCTGTATTTGAGAGGGAATAACTAGCTTAACTAGGAGAAGTACTTGATTTATAACTATGACTCAAACTTGGAAATAGAGTTTTTTTTTTTGCAATGCAAGCAGTTAAAGCTTGGAGCTCTGGTAAGTCATGCCAAGTGAAGAGCTCTATAATGAAGTCAGGCCTTTCTCTGAAATTAATTATGCTTAATTATGGACCCTGCACTAGGTCCTTCTTCCTCAAGCACTGCATCAATCAAACATAAGCTAGGGTCTATGCTCCATTTTGTGTGTGTAAGTGTGTGTACCTAAGCTTTTGGGGCCCCAAAACATTTATGAAACTATTTAACAAGAGAGGTCCCAAACTAACCCTGGAGGAACTCCAACCGAATTCCTCCCAATCTTGTCATACCCTCCTATTATTACCTTTTGCTCTTTTTTCCCTGTTATTTACCTCCTTACCCATTTCATAGATCCTTTCCTAATCTTCATCTTCTCCAGATGTACTAATAATTAACCATGTGACAGCAGCTGAGCTGCTTGTTAAAATGGAGCTAGATGACATCTATCTATTTGTCTAAAAAATCTGGAAGGCACTAAATCAACGTGGCCCTACCTGCCTCTGCTAATTCGCTCTGCATTTTGTCCAATTTTCCATTTGCCTCCAGGCCTTCAGTTATTGAAATAAGGCCGGCAAGCCTGTGGGTATCTGCTTATCTCTCTCTTATATGATTTAATAAATGCTTGGTTGGGTTTAATTTTTTTTTTCCAAAGGTAAATTTTATGTGGTTTTGCACATGTGAATTTCATTCGGGAATGCAAGATGTCTTGCTCTCAGACAGCTGTTGGGTACCGACACCTTCTACTGCATAGTGCTGGAGACTCAAGACTGAGGCCAAGCACCTGAATTCTCTCCGAGGGAGACTGCCTACCTCAGTTAATGCCCTGGTTTGCCAAAACCCACAGCTTTTGGTGGAAAATGGGGAATGGTCACGTTCTGACACAGCCAGATAAATGTAATATCATGGAGAGAAGGGTGTTGAGTAAAGTTGAATCACCATATTCCATTTTTTTCATTGTTTTTGCACTTTATTTGACTCCTCCTGGTTTAAAAGGCCAGGACATAGAATTTGGTGCTTTTAGAAAAGCTGATTATTTATCACCTAAATCTCTTGGTGTTAGACAGAGATGCTGTGGCTTAAATAGAAGTTTGTATCAATTTCAACCTGAATAGCAATCGTTATTAACTGTCGTTAAAAGGAACCAGCTCAGCTGAAAGAGTCTTACTGTTACATTTTCAATCTAAACAAAAGAGGAATGAAATATTATTTCAACATTTTCAGCATAGTTCGCTTACAGTTTCAGCTGTTCGCTGTGTTTTTGGATCCTGAACTCAAACTTCTGGATCCTGCTTGATGCTGGCATCCCGATGGACACAGGATGCCTCCCTCAGGGGTTATTTTCTCGCCATCCCTTCTAAAGCCTATTTTGTGTAACTGCTCTCAGTGGTAGGAGCAACGGATTTAACACAGCATCAACTCCCTCGCCGTGCCTTTCCTTCAGGTAGCAGGATGCGAGCGATGATGCAGGAGAAATTGCATATTGTCTTCTAATCACGGCCTGCAGGTCGGTGCTAATTAACCTCCCCTGCAGAAACAATCTGTCCTCGAGGAGGTGTGAAATCTGTGATGCACAGAGCGGGAACACGCTCTGGCCCTGGGACAGCCAGACCAGCACCAAATCCATGTGGTGCTGCCCCTCGGGATGTCCTGTGGCCCAGCCCTGCCCTGTCCTCAGCCTCCCTCTGCCCAGGCAACCTTTAAACCATCATGAATTGTTGTAAAGCAATGAGGCATTGGACACCAAAAGGCTCTAAAGGTTCTGTAAGCTACCTGGACGTGGTCTGGGGCAACCTGCTCTAGGTGCTCCTGCTTGACCTGGAGTTGGACCCAGAGGTTCCTGCCCACCTCGGCCATTTGGGGACTCTGTGAAAGCTGCTGCAACCTGTTCTGGTAACCTCTCCATCATCTCCAGTGTGCCCCTCCAGGCAGAAGGATGTCAACGGATTAAGGTGAAGATTTTTATTGTCCAGTTAGGTTCTTTGGGTCTTCTCTCCAAGAGGCCTTCTGCTTCCTGTGCTTTCAGAGGACAAAACTGACAGTCTGACAGCTTGGTGGTGATGTTTCTGAGAGGTTGTTCAGAAGACTGGAGCCATCCCCCTGGGTTCCTCTGCTGGACAACTCAGGAAATACAGCCAGGTCCCTCTGACATCCACAGCTACCTGCATTGGTACCTTGGTGAGCCTTTGTGCCTGCCAGCCTGCTCCCAGGAGTGCCTGAGATGCCTGAGCAAACAGCCAGCGTGTCGCTTTCCTGCCTTTTTTTTCCTTCTCAAACTCAGCCTCATTGCTTGCAGGGGGAAGGCAGACACTGTCTGCTGACTAATTTCCACTTGTTTCGATAGTCGGATGACAATATGATTAATTATCATCACGGTGTCACCGAGCCGGGTGAAGGCTGCCTCGCACCTTCTGGAAGCTGTGTTGAAATTCCTGAGATGATTTCGCTCGTGCTCCTTCATTTCTATTTCCTTTGGGCACTTTAGCAGCCAAGCTTAGAAGTGAGAAAACACTTCATCCAGCCCTGGGGCTGCTTCTGAACCTGCAGTGCTGCTGTGCGGTGTTCAGACTGGTATAGCAGCAGGTTTAAGTGAAGACAATGACACAAGATCAAGCTATTGGCTTGCTCAGGACTGAGGAGGCTCTTCTGGAGGGAGGAATTGTCCTGCTGCATCCTACATGATGTTAAACAACACAAACAGGAGTCATTACCAGCTATCCTTGCACTGGGCAGCACAAATACCTTGTTAAATGTGCACTAACTTCCTCCAGCCACTGTGCTCCCTATGCTGGTTCTTGAACATCCCGACCCATGTGGCACCATCACTGCCTGTACTGGAGGGATGCTGTGGCTGTGGGGCATCTCCACACATCTCCTGTTGGATTTTATGCCAAAGTTCCTCCTCCCACATCATTTTGGCAAGTCTCAGGCTCTGCATGTATAGCAGAAGCTGACGGCTGGGGAAAGGCAGCTGAAGGTCACCCCTCCGTTCCCTTATTATGAGCATCCCAAAGAGGTGACCGGTGAGAAAGGCAAACGAGTCGCTGACGGTCAAAGTTCATTTTTCTTGTAATTAGCAGATTGCATGAAAGTTCAGGAGCTTCCACAGAATAAGAGTTAAAGATTGAGTTCACTCACCTGTCCCTACAATTAACAGCTATAAAGGTGTCACTGGGATAAAAAGTGAGAGAAAGTAGAAGGCAGACTCCAATTTACCCACAATTAAGGTGCAGGGAGTGCCGGGGGTTTGTGTGCTCATGCTTAGCCCCTGGATGGAGGAGATTTAACACCCCACTTCAATTTTCCCACAATTAGCCCCTCCCCAGAAGATGCCATTGACCTCATCAGCTTGGAGACTGAGTTCCAGGGTTAATTTTTTCTGTTGCTGCCTAATGAACAGTGCCAAAGAGGGATGCTGGGTTCACTTCTTGGCAGAGCAGTACAGAAAAAAGCTTTTTTTTTTCAGCTTGCTGACCAAAGCCGCAAGAATTCTGTCTCTGTATATTCAAAGCCACTTGGGGCCAGTGGGATATGAAGATGCCTTTCTGCTACGGCTGCACAAAGAGCATCCAGAAGGAGGTGGCTTTTGGTTTCCTTTTCTCACCATGGAGGCTGTGTAAATGTGTCCCAGGGACTCCTTGCCACCCCAATGTAATTATTTTAGGGAAGAAATTGCTTACTTCGCATTTTCTTGTCATTTTACTTGGGTGTGAAAGTGTTCTTAATTTAGGTGTGGAGGCTGTGGCCGTGCCATCACCTCCAGCACCTGTTCATCGATAATCACACTGCTCCTCCCGGGCTCCCCAGGAGCAGCACAGGGGCAGGTAGGTTTTGGTCTGCTTTCCCCAGTAAATGAGCCTCAGGCAACCTGAATTGTCCTGGGACAATTCAACTCGACAACAAACAAACAAACAAACAAAAAACCCAAACAAACATACAGGAAAAAAACAACACTTTTTATTTAAAGAAAAATAGGAAAGCTCTGGAAAAAAACACCACTGTACCCATGTCCTCTGCCCCTCTGGGACTACTTTTATATTTGTGTCTCTTACGGTAGGTATTATAAGCTAATGAAATATAAATTGATCTTTAAAAGAGCACTTTTCAAGGTTCAGTTGCTATCTAATTAATTTAATTTTAAATTACATCAGTAATAAAGACTTAATTGCCTTCTTATCAATATATTGTATTTTGTAAAGAACATGCGACTATTTAAACATTCAATCATTTTCTTATAGAAGAATAATTGGTATTTTAAGCATACAACTATCATACTAAGTGTAAAATATTTATTTGTGCACGTAATTTCAAGTGGTATCACAATCTCAATGAACATGCAAATGTTACAGCAGCTGCTGTTTAACTCCTAGCCTGCCTTTCCAGCAACCATGCGGACTCGTCTGTGGAAGGGAGAACGGTCTGAGGCAGCACAACGTGGTGATGTGGAGTGTGTTCATACAGTTACACACATTTCTCATTATTAAGGTTCAATTCCCAGTCCCTGGGTGCAGAAGGCAGTTTAATAAACATGACAGCTTGGGATGGGTAGCTTCAACTTCTCTATAACACCTAGTGAGGACTGAGAAACATTTTGGACCCTACACATGAGACTCGTTCTATGCTACAAGACGTGGAGCAGGGTTTTAAAGCAGCAAATGTGCTTATATCCCTTGTGAGCAGGAACACAGCTCAACGCTGCTGTGTGTCCTCCGAGCGAGGGCTCGGTAAGCTCCATTGCTAAGCAGATAGATCAATGTCAAGCCATACCCGCAGCCTGTGCCTAGCATGGAAGCTGGATTTTGTAGTGCATAAGCTGCCAGGAAGAATAATTAAATATACTGCAAGCTACCTTTGGTTTAAAATTTGCAAGAGGAGAAATGAAAATCAGCAGAAGCCAGAATGCATCAGCAGAACTGTGTGGTGACTTGTCAACTGCAGTGATTCTGAACTGTTTGCTTCACTTCTACTAGGAAAATACCATAATCTGTGATGTATGTCCTTCATAGCTGTACTCATGTGTGTGTCTGTATCTATACAGAACCATTTAAACGTAGTAAGCTTCTAGCTGTGAAGTGTCGAGACCAGATATTACTGAAGTAGCTTCAGACCTGCCATCACACTGCCACTATTTGGTGTTAATGTATGCTGACTTTTAAATGCACTGTATGTATTCTTTAATGTGATGCAGTAAATAATACTGGGACCATGCTAGGTTTTGTCATCTGTTTCGTGCAAAGACCTACCACTCTGAGTTATGGGGAAGGAAGTTCTTAGAGGGTCACCCAACACAAGAATCCACTTTACCCCACACGGGTCTGGGAGGTGCCTGCACTCCACTTCAGACGTGACTACACTCTCCCTGTGAAGGCTGCCCTCGTGAGGCCTTCTGTGTGGATGAGTACGGAAACACGAGATGCTCAGCCTGATGGACAGCTGCTAGTTGGGTCACAGGCACCTCACAAGACCTGGGAAGCCCCTTATGAGCTCCAAGCGGGATGCTGACCTTGAAGTCACAGCTCAGGTGTCCTCAGTCCTTCACCCTGGCTCTAAGGAGAGCGAATAAGGTCTCACATGCCAGTGTTGGGCCATAAAAGTTTATACAACCTCACAGTATGAGCTGTTTGATACTGTTATTTAGTAGTCCGGCTGAGGTTGATGTATCATGGCCACTTGGATGTGAAAGGGGACTCCTGCAAGCCAGGCCAGCCCCCTGGGTGTCCATGGGGCTCTGTTTGTCCCCGTGTCGGGGCAGCAGCACTGAGTGCAGCACGTTCAGTGCCAGCAGGACCAGTCCCCGTGGCTTTGTGTTTCTTGTGGAAAAGGGATCTGACATTGGAAGGCAGATTTTTCCTCTCTAAAGGGAAAACCCATCAAGGAATGGCATTCTGCACCATGGACCTTTAATGCAAAGGGTCTGCAAGAATAGATGGGAACCTGTTGCAGTCTTTCCTCGCTTTTCTGTATCTTATAGGCTGGTTGTAATCAGAGAATAACTTTGTCTCTCTTTCCAGGAGGCTTATTTCTCCTGCTCATTTTCCTCTTCGTGATGTGGAAGGAGTTTGTGGCTGATTTTCAGAAGTACATCCTCCTGGAGAGGAGTGAAAACTGCCTGGAGGAAACGCCTGTGCGCGTGTACTACGGCTGGTCCTTCATGTTCGCTGCCGCAGGGGTGCCCCTGGTGCTGCTCTCCGGACTCCTCTTCTTTCTCGTCGGCAGAGACATTATGAAATCCCTGGAGTAAGAAAATGGGTGATGCTGGGCAAGCCTCAGAGAAAGCTGGTGATACCCCTTGTAATGAAATGTACACAAGTTTTGAGGACTCGGTCATTTTTGTAGCTCTAATTGTCGGCGTAGGTGCATGATTAAAGTCACTGGTGCGTGGAGGCAGGGGTGGAGCACTGAGCACGCAGATGCTCTCAGTCCTAAACCACTATTACGCTCTGGAGAAATGTAGACATATCCATGGACTGTGCAGCACTTTTAGGTCAGAGGAACAGCCTTCGCTGTGCTAGGCAGCTACCACGACCCATCCGTATTCAGCAGAGCCGGAGGTTTACGGTGTTCCCAGCATCCTTGTTTCTTGTAAGAGGTAATCGAATCTGGCTGTGAGGGTGTACACTCTAATGTCTATTTCTGAAAAAGCAATTAAGGACGATTTTTTTTTTAGCTGGCTCTAATTGACATCAAAGGACAACCGTTTTAATGGAATGTCAGGAAACATGAGAAAGTTTTTCGTTAAAAGCCCTGATTCTGAAGATACAAATGTAACTGGGCCTAACCTAACTTGCAATAAGTGACTAAAGCAATTTCTGTGGCATCACAAAATGTATTAATTAGTCTTTCTTTACAGCACCATGCTACTGTGCATTTAATATTTTCCTGGACATAGGGTTGTGGGCATTCACAATTCCAAAAACTGAAAGATGGACTTGGGGGAAAGGGAATGGGAACAATAATACTATGATTTTTGTTTGTTTGTTATGGTAGAACCTGTCAGCCGGCATAGAACAAGTCAGTTCCAAATATACAATTTATATATATTAAAATTCTTGCAATTGCTCAAGTGTACGTTGTCTGACAGGTTACAGTAGTCCCACTAAGAGTAATGCATGCTAATTCTATACAAAACCATCTAGGTAAGGAAGGTGAAGTCATTTATTCTGTGTATGTGGAGGTTTGTAGAGACACTCAATGAATGTCAAAGATTTGATCTTGCTGTGTTTTTCAGGCTGGATCTTGCTGCTTTGAAGTAGTTTGTTGGGCCCTTGCTTGCTGAACTCATCTGCATAAATTGTAAATAAAACTTGCTAGAAATATATGCTTTTCTCATGGATGTCATAGTTTGTGCTAAACATACATTTCCCAAGCTTAATGTCATACTATTGACTCAATATAGTTAATTAATAATGTAATGTAAATCTCTTCTAGAAAGCAGAGAAGATTGTTGGCAGTATAAAAATGTTTGTTAATGCTCTTCCTAAAATACTATTCGTGTCTGGCATTTCTTTCCTTTATGGAGCAAGTTCTAATTACTCTTTTACAAGATTCATGGCATACATAGAGTGAGAAATTGTAATTCCCACATGTAAAGATCAGTTCTTTCATATGAATAACAGGCTTGGTCTACAGTTCTTAAGTAAAATTCACACTGATTTCCATTAATAGAAATGTTGGTTGAATAGAATTGCTATGTACAGGTAAAAATCATGCTTTATTTTATTTATTTATTTATTTATTTATTTATTTTTCCCCAGTGAGTAGCTGTTTCATGACATTTACAAACACACAGGTATTGCATTGTTTTATTTGGCAAATTTAAACTTTTTTTTTTCTTTTTTTCCCCATTATATCTCTTTGGATTATGCCTGTGCCCCATCAGTTCTTCAAGTGATAATTTCTCACTATAAATTCACTTTGAATAATTTTTGTCATTTAATTATCTATTCAGTGTAGAGATGAACACTTATGGTCACAAAGAATAAAAGTATATAATCCAGGAGCAGAAGAGGTCAAGATTTACAGTCACTTGCCTTTCACTGATCCCATAAAACAATCCAAGCATGCAGAAATGATGATCCCATAAGAGACACCAGGGCAGAAGTATGAGAATGCAGCAAGAAATCCATCAGACTTATTGATATCTGTGAAGCTGAGGATCCCTGAAGTTGTGAATATAGAAGTGAGTTTTATATTATAGAATGAAATATTTATTAACTTTCTCCATCTGTTCTTTAAAAAATTTAGTTTAATGTCATCAAGGCATTTATGGAATACATTTAGCTTAATCATGCATTCATGCCTTAGGGAGTAAACCATCCCTGGAGACTTGCTCCTTCTGGATCAGCTCTAGAACGAGCAATCGTTTAAAACTCTATCATTCTTTTCAAAAACATGACTTTGAATCATTCTTGAACGGATATATATATTTTTAAACTTTGGCATTGAGCATACTTTAATAATCATGGCAATAAGTATATAGAAAATGCGATTATGGACTAGTACAATTAAATTAATTACCACTTATATTAAAATGCAACATTTATAGTCAGCACAAGTGTGAACCAAACATGTTATGTTGGTAGGACTAAGGAGTCCAACTCCTTTGGCCTCCTGTGGCAATTATACCCTACGTGGATAAAATTTTGTATGAAAATCATTGTTTCTGAAAATATTAAAAAATAAGCTGATGGACTCAGGTGGTAAGGTTTGAAAATGTGAAAAGCAAGGACTCTTTCATCTGTTGAATGTGAAGAAGTCTGATGAAAGGATATTATAGAGTAGTGACAAGGACCTAATTCTGATCCAAGTTTTGTCATTATAAATCATGAGTAATTCCAGAGACTGCAGTAGACTCTTATCACTGTTAAACATCTGTAAGTCAGATCAGAACTGGGACTAATAAATACATTCAAAAATGCATAATTAAAACTGTGATTTCACATCACTGATGAATTTTAGTCAAGGATTTCTTCAAGGATGCTTTTCTCACATTAGCATTTGACGTTAGTAAGCAATGAATAATTCCATTTTTTCTTTCCAACATCTGGGACACTTCCTGCTTTATTTGCTACTTACTGAGCGCTCTGCAGGAAATATTAATGAATCTTGGGTGTTAAACTACAGGCCCTGTGGATCATGCTCGTGAGGCAACGTTACATAGCAGACACTGTATGTCTTGAGATTAAGAGGCTTGATTTTGGTGAAGTAAGATATCAGGAGGTTTGTCAAATAGGTGGGAGATACGGAGCTTTGGGGAGGTTACCCAAGGATCAAGCCCCTGCAGCTTCTTTGTTCATATGTTCCTTCATATTAATTACTTCAAAGGGAGGCAAAAATTAACGATAAAACCTTTTCCCTTGGTCTGTTCACCTCTTTTACTGGTGATTTGGCAAACTAGCACCTGGGGATGCCCTAAGGCCTGGGGCAGTGCTGGGTGCTGGGCAGCAGCACCGAAGAGTGTAGAAGAGGAGATGGGCACACTGCTGTGCTCTGCTGCTTTCTCACAGTGCTGGCAGACTGATGCTATTTAATTTTTCTTGGTAAATTTTGTGCTAAAACTCCACATTTAGAGGCATCTGCTAGCTCGTTAGAGCAACCTGCAGAGGAAATCTGTGTTTAGCAGCACAGGGAAGAGAGCTTCCAAAGGAGGAAAAGAAATTTTCTTCTGTGCTGCTGTGAGGTGATCTTTGATTCTCAGGGCCGATCATGGATGATGCCATGTTGCATCCTTCCTTCCCCTCCCTGCCTTAGCCCAACAGCCAAGGTTGAGGTTTGTGGACACAGCAAGGCGTCTGGTGCTGAGCACATGCAGGATGAGACCAGTGGAGTCCCTTGACACCCATGCAGGAGGCTGAGGATGGACATTCATCATTCCCGTGGCCTACCTGTACGTACTAACTTAGGCCAGGAGTTGGCTTTGCTCTGCAGTAATGATGGAAATGGAGGCCGTTAACTGAAAGGCAACCAGAATTAACTCCAGTTAAGTGTACAACCACCCTCTGGGATGGCTTGCTTTCACCCAGAAGGACTTAAAAAACTTTTCTGTATATCCAGAAGAATCCAGCTTCTCTGAACAGGTTTTCAGCTTCATCCTGCTGAGTCAGCACGGTGTGGAGGGCCTCTTGTCTCTCGCCCCGAGCACATGCTGCCCAGGGATGCGTTGATATGGCGCAGGTGGAAGAGGGCACAGATGAGGTGCAGCAAATTAAGGCAGAAACGAAATTAAAATAAACAAGAAAATATAAGCTAGCTCCATGCTTTGTGCACTGGGCTGTACATTACTGCAGGATTAAGTCGTATCAGCCGCAGTACATTTTACAAGAGTGCACAGCACCTCAATCCTATAATCAATAAGCTGTACATGCTGCAGCACAAAGAGCTCTTATCTGGAATACCACTTTGAATTTAGTGAATTTATTTAATCCGTGGTGCCTGCAGAGCATCTGTCCTGTCTTCTGGGTTAATTTATTTATTCTGGTGATCTATTTTTAGTCTTTCAAGTACTTGACATTTGAGAAGTAGATTTTTTTTTTTTTCTGACTTCCTGAAAAACATCTGAATTGAAAAAAAAAAAACACCTTTATTTACAGAAATGTTTTTGTTTCCTCATTCACTCTCCACTCTTTCTCTTGGGACAGAGAGCCCTGTTACCAGTACTAATAACCATGCACTGAAGAGATTGGAGAAGGCTCCTTTTCACCCTGCTTGGCTAAGCCTGTCTTAATGCTGGCTATTCAGAGGATCTTCTCTCTTTATTCTCATCTCTTTCCTGTGAATTCTTCAAAAGAATTACCTAGTTTTGAGGTATTTTCAAGGTGCTGCTTTTAGTTTGTGAGTTTTAATGAGTGTATGCAATGTTCTTATCTTCTAGAGCTTGGTATTTCCAGGCATGAACCCTTGACAGAACCCAAAAGAACCAGTTGTTTAAGCACTATGAGTACATAGATGTTTGCTGTGAAAAAGAAATAACAAATGAAAAAATATTCTACCACCACTGCTCTGACGGTGTAATAGTGATTATTATCAGAGCTGTAAAGAATGCACTCTAATTAACCCAAACGGTAGGTACTAAACATTCGGTTACGCGAGAGGAGATTGAAGTTTTATAAGCTTTAAGGTCTGCAAAGAAGAAAAAAATCTTGCCTGACCTTGACTGACTAGATTAATGATGGCTTCATAAAAGCAAGGAAAAAAATAAAAATAAAAGAGCATAAAGGGCAACTGTGTGAAAAACACAGGGTTAATTATATTTTCCCTACCCATTTCCAACATTTCCCTGCGTGGCTTTCACTGACAAAGCAACAAATGGCTGAGAAAAAAGAACCACCCCCTGAAAAAGGCCATTACCCTGGCAAAATATATTACGTCTCCTCAGAAATATTTTTGCAGAGTCACAGAATGCAATTGTTTCTCCATTTCAGATGCTTTTAGAAATCTTTTGTATTTTTCTTTGGTTTAAAAGCTGCTCTGTGGGAGAAGTCATTCATGAAACCACTTGGAAATGCTGCTCGGGTAGCATGCAATGAGCTGGCTGTTTGAGGATCTGAAGCTTAAACTTCCTCTGCTACAAGCTAGAATAATTGTGGAGCAAGGTGAATAAATGTGGCTCATTCTGAAACAGACATCAATTTTAAATCTCTCCCAGCCAAAAAAAAAGTATGGAAATTTATCAATCTAGACAAATCAGCCACTGAATTTGTCCTAGTGATTGCTGAGGTGGATCCTTCTCTTACAGACCACAATACATCAGACCATACTGAGGTTCTGCATCTCAAACCACACAGCAGTGCTCCCAGAACCAAGGTCATTACCAAGTGAGCCCAGTAATTAGCTCCACAACCCAACCGTTAATCAAATTTATGGCATAGCTTTTGCATCACATCCCAGCAGCATTGTTTCCTCTAAGCTTTAAAAGGGTAAATCCCGATGACGGGAGAAATGTTTCAATCTCTCGCTCCTAGAAACAGTAAATTCATTCATAAAATGAACAGCGAAGAAGCAGTTTTCATGCTTTCATCTCCTCTGCAGCTGTCTGGCTTCACCTGCCTGATTTGGGGTAGGAAGAGCCATTCCTGGGATGACTCCCCATTTTTTTTCCTGCAATTTTGTTCTGCAGGTCAATAACTCTTCCACGCCATTCCCTGTGCATTGTGAAAATCTGTGTTATGCTAACACAAAGACACACTTTATACATTAAATATATATAAAATGACTGGCTTTCTCTGCAGAGAGCCTTGCCTGCACCACAACCACTTCAAAGGCTTCAAAGCAGAGGTGCCTGCAGCTAGGGCTGCAGCTGGGAGCAGAAGTGCTGGTTTCAGCTGACACCAGAGG